CAGGGTTTAGGGTTTAGGGTTTAGGGTTTAGGGTTTAGGGTTTAGGGTTTCGGATTAGGGTTTCGGAGGTCTTAGGGAGCTTTGGGGTCTGGTAGTTGGGGTGTTGGAGGGCTTTAGACATGACGCCAGTGCTTCAGGCGTCACTCCGCCTCTTTCACAAGGACCTGCAGTGTGTGCCCAAGCCTCCAAGCGGAAGCCCCAAACTCCAAACTCTGCACCCTAAACCCTACCTTTATCCTACAAAAAACCCCCAAACTCTGCACCCTAAACCCTGCCTTGATCCTACAAAGGATCCTCGCGAACCCAATAACGCAGAGAAGTATGAATAAACCCTAAACCCTAAACCCTAAACCCTAAACCCTAAACCCTAAACACGGCCTGCCTTGAGGACAAAAACCGGGATCCCAGCGAACAAAGAAGCCACTCGGGTTTACGGCTTCCGTAATCTTGTAACATTTATGTCCCGTGTTAGGAATGATAACAAGAATAGAAATAATGGAAATAGTAGTAGTAGTAGTAGTAGTAGTAGTAGTAGTAGTAGTAGTAGTAGTAGTAGCAGCAGCAGCAGGAGTAGTAGTAGTAGTAGTAGTAGTAGTAGTAGTAGTAGTAGTAGTAGTAGTAGTAGTAGTAGTAGTAGTAGTAGGAGTACTAGTAGTAGTAGTAGTGGTGGTAGTAGTAGTAGTAGTAGTGGTTGTACTAGGAGTAGGAGGAGGAGGAGTGCAAGTAGTCGTCGTCGTCGTAGGTAGTCTTGACAAAAATTATAAATGACAGCCCATTCTGAGGCCGGCGCAGGAGAGACAGGGCGGTACCCACAAGGGCCAGGGCACGCTCCTTTGCTTCCAGGCGACGATTTTCGTATCATGTTATCACAATATTTCATTGCTACATTATGATATCAGTATATTTTCACAGTATGACATTTTTACATTTTCTTCATTATGACATTATGACATCATGACATTATGACACTATGACATTTTGACGTTATGACAATACGACACTATGACACTATGACATTATTGTAATATTACGCTATTGTATCTCTAGGACACCGATCCTTAAATCCCAAGCACATCTTGAGCCCCGAACCAACAAAGGGCGCAAACGGGAGACAGGATGAGCTCGAAGGCCCCCCAAAAACCTCCCTAAACCCTAAACCCTGAACCCTAAACCCTAAACCCTACTCATGACTAGGCAGGCCTTTACGGACAGGGCGTGGGAATTGGTTTAGGTTGGCAGATGTTGGCATCTAGCCCTGCAAACCCTCTCAAAAATGTTCCTCAAGATCATCTTAAGCCCATTAAGAGAAACCCTAAACCCAAAACCCTAAACCCTAAACCCTGAACACCTACCTACACTCTCACCCTTCAGCCCCAAAGATCCCAGTAAGAGCCTACCTGGCGGGGAGCCCATGTGGCCCATGAGTGGAAGACCTCGAGACCCCTAAACTCCTGAAGCGCCCTTGGGATCATCTACTACCCCCACCCTAACTACCAACCCGAAAGAAGGGCAGGCCGGGACCGGAGGCGTGGTAGAGGATCCCACACCCAGAACCCAAAACCGTGTAGCGCTTGGAGCCGAAGACTTAGAAGATTCTGTCCGAGCTGCTGACTGCAGGCTCAGCATCATGTTCTCCGAGGTCCGTGAAGGGGGGATGCGGGAGAGCGCCCACTCCACTGTCATCATATACTGGGCCTGCGTTGAGGATTTGGGATTTAGAGGTTGAGGAATGTAGAGATTTGCGGGTGAGAGGCTTGGGTCTTCCGCCTTCCGCCTTCCGCACCCAACAGAGAAGCAGCTGCACAGGGCTTTGCATCGAGGTTCATGGGTAGGCGGCTTATTTACTGCAGTGATTATTGGGGGTTATAAGTACCCCTGAACCTCCAAGTATGGCTTTGGGGTTTGGGTTTAGAGTTTAGGGATTTAGGGATTGAGGGTTGATGGTTTAGGGTTCAGGGTTTAGGGTATAGACTTTAGGGTTTAGGGTGCCTCCAACGACAGGTCCGTCATTCCGGCTTGCTGTACCCAGCCCCCGCTGCAGTTGCCCACGAAGAACCAGAGGCAGGTGAGGATGTGCACAAAGTACGCAGACCTCTAGCTTTGGGTTCGGGGTTGGGTTCTTAGAGTTTGGGGTTTAGGGTTTAGGGTTTAGGGTTTAGAGGGTAGGGTGTAGGGCTGGGAGGGCACATATCAAAGTTCACTCGGGGCTTCGTGCTCAAGTGTGGCTGACACGACCAGCGTGTTGCAAGAGCCGCTGAGGATGGTTTGGTGCCGGTGCTGGCATCAAACTGCCCTAAACCCTAAACCCGAAACCCGAAACCCTAAACCCTAAACCCTACACTCGCAAACTACAAGGAGGCCGTCAACCCCAAAGGATCGCTACTCTTCGGCTGCACTGCAAAAGCGGCATCCTTCCCGCCCCTAAACCATACAAGGGATCGGGAACCTCAACACCAGAACACCCTAAACCCTAAACCCTTAACCCTTCAACCCTTAACCCTAAACCTTAACCCTAAACCCTAAACCCTAAACTCCAAGAGTGGCATCATTCCCGCAATGAGGATGTTGAAGAGCGCTCGCATCTCCCGGCTGGTTTTCGCCGAGTAGAGGTGCAAAAACCTCCGGAAGGGGGGAGCTTCCAAGGGCTTGAGAGGCTTAGGAAAGGTTTAGGGTTTAGGGGTTTAGGGTTTAGGGTTTAGGGGTTGAGGGTTTAGGGTTTCGGGTTTCGGGTTTAGGGTTTAGGGTTTAGGGTTTAGGGTTTAGGGTTCAGGGTTTACACTCTTCCCAGATATTTCCAGATTCCCAGGTCTCTCAGATGCCTCGCAAGACCCGCCATGTTGTAGAGCCTGGGAAGCTGCAGCAAGCGGAGAAGCTGCGCGCCTCCCAGACGGCACCATGTGGGAGTTTACGAAAGTGGGGGGGGTGCCCCTTCTAGAAGCCCCAAAATACCACATTGTCATTTTAAAGGAACCCCCCAAAAGTGTACCCCTTTTTTCGGAAACCCCCATATCAGCTGGAATGGAGATGGGCCTTTAGGGTTTAGAGTTTCGGGTTCAGGGTTTGGGGTTTAAGGTCTGGGGTTTAGGGTTCAGGGCTTAGGGTTTAGGGTTAAAGGTTTCGGGTTTCGGGTTTAGGGTTTAAGGTTTAGGGTTTCGGGTTTAGGACGGTCAGCTTCTTCCAGCTGCGGCACTGCGCAGCAATGCAGAGTCTGCACCGCTGATGATGTCGAAGGCGAAAGTGGCAACAAGGATAACCTAGAAAGGAGAACATGGTTTAGGGTTTAGGGTTTAGGGTTTAGGGTTTAGGGTTTAGGGTGTAGGGCCTTAGGGTTTAGAATCTCGGCATCCCTTGAGTCAACCTTGTACCCCCACACACCCCCCAAACGAGTTTCCACTGCTGTTTTAAGTTGTAAAGGGTGCCCCGAAGAGTGAGTTGGCTGTTTCAGGGGTATTCAGGGCCGAATCTGCCCTTAATTCAGGAACATACCTTAATTTATCAGGGGTCCCTAATATGATTTAAGGTATAGTTTTGTTAGAGGTGTTGGGCTCTTTGGGGTTTCATGAGCGCTCAGTGTACTATGCTGGGTAAGTTTGGACAGCCAAGCGCTCAAAGCTTCTGAGGGTAGTTTCACTGGCACTGAATATGGTCCCTTACCTCCTGCAAAGGGTTCTAATGTTGTATAGAAAGGGGTACCCTTTTCAGGGCCCATACTAAGGGTTTCAGGGTTCAGTGGCTTCGCGTGTTTCAGGGTTGAGGGGGTTTAGGGGCTTCAGAGCTTCAAGGGTCCAGAGCTTCAGGGGACTTTGGAAATCCCCTCACTTCTGTCAGAAGGAATCAAGGGTTTGTCCTTTGTAATCAGGCACCCCAATGTCAATCAAGGAACCGCAGGGTTGGGTTGAGGGTTGCGACATCAACTACCATCCAGGCGGTCTCAGGTTTGGGGTTTAGGGGCTTAAGGGTTTAGGGCTTTGGGGGTTTCAGGGGTTTTGGGGTTTGGGTTACTTTGTTTCTGTGTTTACGGCTTGAATGTCTGGAGATCTGATGGTCTCCCTTCTTCGGCGGAAGAGGATCTTAGGCAGGGAGCTTTCTCAGGGGCCGACCTTTCGTGTTTTGGAATTTTGGTTTCGGATTTAGGGTCTAGGGTTCCTTAGGGTTCAGGGTTTAAAGATTTACGGGTTAGGGGCTTAGGGTGTCAGAGCTTGATCTTACAAAAAATGCACTCAGGGTGTGGGGTTTGGGCTCTGCGGTTGCCGGGTCACCCCAAACCCACAAGACCACACCTCCAAAAGCCCCACCCTCACCCCTAAACCCTGAAACCCTGAACCCCAAACCCTAAACCCTAAACCCCAAACCCCAAACCCTAAACCCCAAACCCTAAACCCTAAACACCCAAAAAGGGCCTCGAGAATGCCGAAGCCCAGGAGGCGGAGCCAGGTGTCCTTGGCTGACTGCCGAGCCCCTCCTAAAAGGATCTAAAAGGCTCCTTCTTGTAGCTGCTCCCCTAAACCCTAAACCCTAAACCCTAAACCCTAAACCCTAAGAGCCAGCCAGAAGAAAGCCAGGTGTCGGCCGTCGCCCAAGCAACTGCGGCCGAGACAGGCAAGCTCAAGAGCCTCGGGCTTCTGTGGTGGGCTTTTAGGGTTTAGGGTTTAGGGTTTGGGGTTTAGGGTTTAGGGTTTAGGGTTTCAGGTTTGAGGTTTCGGGTTTAGGGCTTACGGTGCTGAACCCTGTGCATCGGGTTGAATGCTCAGGCTGTTAAAGTTGAGGGCTTTCAGGTGTAGGAGGCAGGGTCTTGAGCTTCGCTGGGTTTTGCATGGAAACCCTATATAAACCCCTGATACCCTTTCCTGGGGTGCACTGAGGTGCGAAGTTCCGTGAGCCCTGAAGCAAAGATAAGGCTTCAGGTGTCCAGGTTCAGGGTTCTCACTTCAAACTTTGAAGGCTCGCAGTCTTGTGACAGATCCCTGCCCCCGGGTCGGAGGCTCTTGGCCTCTGGGTGTCTAGGACCAGGGAAGACAGAATCCGGGCACCGTCAACTCGTGCAGCCGAAGTGGCTCAAAGCCCAGCTTCACGAAGTCCATGTTTCCAACATACCGGGACTGAAATGCGATCAGCGGCCACTGCACAAGCTCCAGAAGGATCAGGAACAGGAAGGTGCTTGCCCAAACCTGCTTGACAGCCGTGCACCTCCTTCTCTGGGCGATCGGGATGATCGGCGACGAGATGGCCATGTGAGAATTCGCGGTTATGGCCATGGATGCACGGCGCGTGAACCTGCTCACGTGAGCGTCACCCATGTGGTCCCAGCACTCGTTGAGCTGAAAGAGCTCCAAAGACTCCAGGGATGAGCCATCCAGCTCATAGAGCTCATCTACGATGTTCACAGAGCGCAGAGACTTCTTGCTGGGATGCTCTGCCTTCTGGCTGTGGTTGCTGCTGCGGTTGCTGTGGCGGCTGTTCTCCTTCTGGCACAGCGCCTCCTCAGAAAGGAGGGGCGGAGGTTCAGTCGGAGAAGTCGGTGAAAGGGGATATCGCTGCTTCATGGTGTCTCCCGTAGAGAGAGCGGCACTGGCCATCGGCAGGGACTGGGTTAGGGCATCGGTGGAGGTGTTCCGCAGCAACATGTTCTCGGATGTGGTGGTTCTCTCAGACTCCATGAGCAGCTTCACGAGAAGCTTCTCAATTTCCCCCAGGACTCCTCGCAGCATCTCCTCCCGTGTTTCTGCCATAGCGCACTTGGGGCGTTTTTGCACCTACAAGGCTCCTTTTTTCGAAGCGAGGCCGCGCCCGGCCAACAGAAGGCTGGTCCGACTCTGGGAGGTCGTATATAATATAATATATAATATATACCCAAATGATGCAAATCCATTAAGGATGATAAATATTGACTGATATTGGTATAACTTGTCAGATATAAAAAAGCTGTGGGCCAAGCCGGGCCAAGCAGCGACGGCGCACTTGAAAGCAGAAGGAATAGGCCAACGCGGGCTTCTCCCCTAGCTACTTGGAGGTTCATGCTACCACTAACCAATTAGAACTGTACTTATGACCCTACTTATAATACCCCTAAAGGGCCTTTTCGGGGTTGTCCCAATTATAAGTAGAGAGACAGCTTGAAGAGAGAAAGAGAAACGATGCTCCACGCCCACACTGCAGCGCGCCGTGACATGGGGCTGCTGCCTACGTTCAGGATTGTAGGTAGCATTTTTGGGTGGCAGTGGTCCTACACTCGAAAACCCTATAAGCTTTCCAGCACTTCCCAACCCCCCCAAAACCCCTAAGCATACCAACGAATTAAGACAACAAATACAATGTCCCCGTGAGCTCACTGAATCCATACGCTCACGGAATGAAGTGCTAAACGCCTCGATATGCTACCTTCATTTCAAGGGCGTTTTGCTCGTTCACTCAGACCTTATATAAAACTGTGCGTCATTTTTCACTTCATTTCACTTCATTCCTTACGAATCAAGTTTACTTCGCTCTCTTTATAAATATGTTGAAATAAGGAAAACTCTCTACTCTTCAGCGAATCATATAAGGTTCTTAAGATACAACGGTTCTCAAGGTGTTTACGGGCCGCTACTATATTTTAGAGGCCCGTTCATAGTATTGCTGTTACATCTTGGGGGTTTTGGATGCGCTCTTTCTCCCTTGCAACTGACTGGCTCACTTTAAAACACCTTGCGATTGCATTCTACAAGTTTTTTGGGGTTCCTACTCGCTGGGCTTTGCTTATACCCCCCACCCGCCTTTAACCCAAAAGCCCTCACGCAGCCATGCGCCTCTGGCACTGGCCGCCGGACACCCTGCACGCGCTGGGGCCACGGTTTAGAGGGAGAGTCGTGGGGGTCTGGAGTTTAGGGAGCTCGGGTTTAGGATGGTTTTAGGGTTGCTCAAGGCAGTTCAAGAGCGGCTTTTCGGGTCCCCTCGGGCTCTTTCTCCATGCACAGGCCATGGACGCGCTCGTAAGTGGGCCGAGCTGGTGTAGCCATGCTACCGCCTCGCGCCACAAGGAGCCCTCGTGGCAGGAGCTGATGCCAGCACACACAAGAATGGCGTCGGGTTGCCTAGACAATCGTTGGGAAAATATTTTAAAATCATATGTTGCTTATTCCTTATAGGGTTTATAAGTACCCTTAAAGATGTAAAATGGTGCCCAACTATGACAAAGTTGCAGGCCATGGGCTTTGAGATCCCTCACCAAGCAGAGGCCTTGCTCCCATTGCATGGCCTTGACGCAGGCGCCGCACACCGCGCCGTAGACGAGCAGGTCCCCCATCGCGCCGCCCACGCGCAGGAGATGCAGGAGGGCCACTGCTGGCTCCCAGGCCGAGGCCCGCTCGCAGGCGCTGGCGGCCGCGCTGAAGGTGACGGCGTTGGGACCGTCGGGCACCTCCGTGTTTGCATCCCAGTCGGTCAAGAGCCAGAGCGCCTGCTGCCACCTCGTAGCCCGATCCAGAGCACTCACCACAGCACTCAGGGCCACCACGTTCGGCTGCAGCAGAAGGCCCTCCAGCTCCGCGAGCAGCTGCAGCGCCGAAGGCCATTGGGAAACCTGTCAGGGCCATCTACCCATCCCAACCTCCACCTACACGACCAGGCCCGTTTTCATCTACGACGCTCATTGTCATAGGCTAAACCTGAAGAATCTCAAAAAAAAAAAACCCAAACGACCTGCACCCTTGCACATCTGCGGCGCCTTCTCGCACGCGCTGATCGCCGCGCTGCAGGTGACGATGTTCTGCTCCAGGCGACGGCCCTGGAGCTCCCCGAGGAACACCAAGGACTGCTGCCACACCGACGCACGCTCGCAGCTGCTTATCGCCGCACCAAAGCTCACCACGTCCAGCTGCATCTTCCTCGCATCCATGGCTTTCAGCAGCTGGGTCACCTGATCCCTAAACTCTATAAACCCTAAACCCTAAACCCTAAACCCTAATCGTCTCTAGCAAGAATGTCATCGCTACGCTGCTTCACAGTGCTTTCGAGCGGAACGCACCTGGTATTGTCCCCTCCGTTCTGATTGGCAGAGGTGCCTTCTATTGTGAAGAAAGTGGCCTTCAACCAGCTGCAACACACAGACCAATCTTGCGCGTCAGAAGAGAATGACAACATCAGGGGAATCAGGGGAGGCTAAACGCACTGCCCAAAAACCACCCCAAACCTCCAAAAACAACCCCCCGGGCGCCTGCTGCCATTCGGCGGCATGGGAGGCAGCGCTCAGCGCTGCGTTCAAGGTCACGACGTCCGCCTCCGCGGCGCCCTTGTTGGAGCCCTCCGGGGAGCCCTCGGAGCCCTGAAGCAGCCGGAGAAAGGCCCGGAAGGCCCGCTGCCACTCGGAGGCTCGTTCCTCTGCGTTTCTGAGGATACATCTCGCATGACACCCCCCCGAGCCGACATGCTCGTGATCAAAAAAGCTATTATATATCTATATATATATATACATAATATTTGTATATACTAGGTTGCAAAGAGTGCTTTTTGTGACATTTCGGGTGCTAAGCCAAGCCGCGCAGGCGGTGATGGCCGCATTGTGCGTCACGGTCGTGGCCCGCACGTGTCTGGAGGGCATCTCCCTGATCAACTCCAAGGCCAAGCGCCACTGGCTGCAGGCCTATACTGAGCTTGGAACCCTGGCAAAAATTGTTTTTTTGCTGTTTCTGAGGAATTATAGTACCCAAAAGTTACAAATTATTTCCACGTACCCCTAGGAGGCCCCAAGGGCCGTGATGGCGGAGTTGTAGGTGATGGCGTTGGGCTTCCCAAGCCGCAAGAAGTGCAGGGCCAGCTCCCACTCGGACTCCAGGGCGCTGACGGCGGCGCTGTAGGTGATCACGTCCGGCTCCAGGCGCTTCGGCTCCATCCTTGTTCATTGTTGGGGTAATATTAAAAATTTAAATTTATATTCCTTATTAGGTTTAAGTACCCTTAAAAATGTAAAATGTTTCCCAACTATGACAAAGCTTCCCTGCGAGGATCCAGAGGGCTTGCTGCCACTGCACAGCCTTGGCGCACGCGCTCACGCAGGCGTTGGCCGAGATCAGGTCCGTCTGCACCGACCGCCGCCCCGCGCCGGCGAGCAGCTCCAGGGCGCCTCAGTGGGCTGAGCACCCTGAGCCCTAAACCCGATAAACCTGAAACCCTAAACCGCCGCGCTAAAATTCCTAGTGGCCCAAGGGCTTACACAGCAAAAAAAGGTGCCCCCCAAGGTTGCCCCCCCCCGCCCCCCAAAAGAGCACCCAAGGTGAGCAAAAAAAATGTGCCCCCCAAGCCCAAGGGTGCCCCCCCCCCACCCTAAACCCTAGCTCCTACACCCTAAACCCTAAGCCCTAAACCCTAAACCCCAAGGGTGCCCCCCCCCAAAAAAAAAGTACTCGGAAGGCGCCCCAGCTGCAGGTCCAGCTGCCCTTGGCGCAGGCGCTCATGGCCGCATTCAGCAGCGCGAGGTCGGCTTGAAGCCTGATCTAGGGGTTTAGGGTTTAGGGTTTAGGGTTTAGGGTTTAGGGTTTAGGGTTTAGGGTTTAGGGTTTAGGGTTTCGGGTTTAGGGTTTAGGGTTTAGGGTTTAGGGTTTAGGGTTTAGGGTTTAGCGCTAGCTACATGGTCCCTTGGTCCCTTAAAAGGGTACACCTTATGTACCCCTTATATACCCTGTACCTTTTCAGGGCCACTACATCGGAACCCTAAACCCTAAACCCTAAACCCTAAACCCTAAACCCTAGTTTCCCTCCCCTCAGAGCCTGAGAAGGCCACACTGGGCCAGGAGCGCCAAGGCTTCCTCCCACCTCAGGGTTTAGGGTTTAGGGTTTAGGGTGTAGGGTTTAGGGTTGAGGGTTGAGGGTTTTAGGGTTTAGGGTTTAGGGTTTAGGGTTTAGGGTGTAGGGTTTAGGGTTTAGGGTGTAGGGTTTCGGGTTTCCGGTCCTCCCCGACTTGTCGCACAGGGCGAGGGCTGCAGTGAAGGTGATCGCATTGGGCTGAAGGCCACTGGCGAAGACCTCATGCAGAAGTCGAAGCCCCTGCTGCCACCTTCCTGACTTCTCACACGCACCGATGGCGGCGGTGTAGGAAATGACGTCGGCCTGTAGGTTCTGTGCGGCCAAGCCCTGCAAGAGGAGCAAAGCTCCCTGCCAGTCCTTGCAGCGCTTGCACGCACCGATGGCCTTGTTAACGTCGATGAGGGCAGCCTTTGATCCCTGGCCGCGTTTCTGCATGCTGATGCATGCTCAGCTGGGCACGCCATCCCGCGTACAAGTCGGGAAGCACTACCAGTCTACCAGACATGGTCTTACGGGAGCTGTGACCAAATCATGCGACGTAAGTCCGACCACATGCGCTCAGATCTTGCATGGTCAAACATTGGGATGTTCCCCCTCATACTAACAGTCCTTCATAGGGATTATAGTACCCCCTTGTAATAATCCCCACTAGGGACTGGTAGGTATAAGGGAGAACTTCCCAAGTCAAAACATGCAGCACCGCAACCACGGCTTCATTACGGAAGATTGAGATTGGGGCTTGCGGGCGGCCTGGTGTCAACGACTCTTCCGGATGGCCTGGCACGTCACATCAGAAGCTCTGGCACACTCTGGATGCCTTCCGCCACGCAACACACATCAAAACAGAACACACACACACACACACACACACCAAAAAAAAAAAGAAACAGACAAACACACCATGTCACATGCATGATGCTAGACATCCCTAGGCCACTACACCGGATGGGAGGCTGGACCTGCACAGTCACCTGCAATTGCTTGGTTGCAACCGTCTGCTGCGAACGCTCAACACGTTTCAGCGCATGTGCGCAACATCACTGGGATGAGAAACGTGCCGGACCTTCTGTCCGATGCAAAGAAACTTAAACGCTGTTGCAGAGTGATGAAGATGCCAGAGTGGTCTACCACGCTGTTAAGCAGCTGTACACAACGTGCGGCCGTTGAATTACCAAATGCGGCATGGGCCTCTACGCGTCCGAACGGCTGCGTCCGACATCCCTGCCGATATGCATGGGCTTGCGTGTGAAGCCCACTGCGTGCCTATAGGGTACAGTAGCACAGACCAGATTACCATCCCCTGCAAAAGCGGCAAAGCGGAAAGTCCTGTGCGTCCTCGAGCTTGTCCTCCATTCCAGGCACTACAGAATCGTCCTCTCGTGGGGCTGTGGTCACCGTCTCTCCATCATCAGCCTTGGTTGTCCAGTACGCATATTCTGATAAGGGTACCCTTTTGGCACCCAGAACCCCAAAAAAAAATTAGGGGGCGAAAGGGCACCACTGGGCTACCAAGCAGCGTGCCAATCCCTGTCCAGGGATTTCACCACTTCGGGCACGGCCTCCGTCTCGAGCAGCAAGACGTCCGGCGTGGTCGGCACGGCTGGCTCGGCCGCTGGATGACTCTCTTCTTGCCTGCACCCATTGTTCGGGGGGGCACTATTCAAACTAGATCATTGTTGTTCCTTATTGGGTTTAGGGTTTAAATATTCATAAAAGATTGATAAATGATCATTTTTGTTCCTTATTAGGTTTAAGTATTCATAAGAATGTAAAATGATCTTCAACCATGACCCAGTTGCGTGTCTTCTGCAGTCTGGATCTCGGCCCACTCCCTCACTTCCTCGAAGCCCTTCGAAAGCGAGGAAGGCGCCTCATGGCCGTCATGCTCCTCGGGATTAGGGTTTAGGGTTGAGGGTTGAGGGTTTAGGGTTTAGGGTTTAGGGTTTAGGGTTTAGGGTTTAGGGTTTAGGGTTTTTGGGTTTTTAGGGTTTCTAGGGTTTAGGGTTTCGGGTTTAGGGCTTTAGGGCTTTAGGGAAAGTCCTCGGGAACTGCGGCCGACGCCTCCTGCAGCACAGGCGTGTGGATCTCCTCAGCTTTCTCTACGGATCCCTCCGCCGCAGCCTCGTTCTCGGGGTCGGGGCGAGTCTCGGCCATCGGGGCGGCATGCGCTTTCGATCCGGAGCATCCCATGGCGACTGAGGGGGGAAGCAGTTGGCAGCTGGAGCCCGCGCGAGGTGTTCTTGAAGACTGGATTTGGGCCGAGAATTTTGCACTGCTGCATGCCGCATATGCCTACCATACCTTCACGAGAAGCCACTTTCTTGTGAGTCAGGCGACGGCCTCGAGGAATGCAGGAAATACTCAGAATTGGCTGCGCTGAAAGTTGGTCTAAGGATATCGAGGGGGTTGTTCGAAAGGGGTGAGGGTGTGCAGGTCAGGGCTCGCGTGAAACTATGAGGAGAAACTGCAATAATTAGAGCCCCGCACACAATTCGCAACATCTTGTTTGGCAGAGAGACTCATCAATGATGAAGTCAAATGCCGCTTCTTACAAGTTGTTGACACCGTACTGTACAATCTCATTATAAAGAAATCACGCAGGTACGTCGAGTTGCGTCCACATCGATTTAAGCACTATGCTCTGACCCTCTTCGTTGGGCCAACAGTCAGAGCGAGCGGTTGGGCCCCCTGCACATTTCTTGGGTTATCGTCTCACCCACGCCGCAAAATAGGCGTAACAAAATGGCGCTGTATTATCACGGAAAAAACTCAACGCCGCCACTTCTCGTCTCACTCGAGAGCGCATGCCGGACAAAATGTAAAACCAATCACATCAACTGACATGCCGAGCTTTAGCAGCGCAAGTTCCAAGCCAAGACACAAACTAGCCAGGCCTGATCGTCCCGATTCACCAACCCTATCTGTAAGACGTATCCTACCAGTCCTAAAACATCCCTACGCCTGACTCCTACTTACGACCCCCTACCCCCGTTATACATTAATTTCCTGGGTTTAACAGGCCAGGAGAAATGCATAACGAACCCTAAAGACATGTGATCGTTTTTTGCCTTTGTGCTCTTCGGTCGCTAGTCATCACTGAAAAGGCCGTTCCCCCCGTGGGCCTTTCAGGCTTGAGTTGGGAAGAGCACCTAAAATTTTTTAAAATGTCACAGCTTGAACCCCTGCAACATCGGCAACTCCAACATCAACATAACCACCACCCTCGTTATACATTTTTGCCTTGGTGGACCGATTCTCTCCCGAAGTACAGGTACCCTCGTTATACATTAATTGGGCGTGGGGATCCTAAAACGCAGTCGCTCCTGCATCGCCGGCACTCGTGAGGCGGTTTCGAAGCCTTGCGAAAGTTGTTTTTCATGCAGGGTCTCATTTCGCCTACTCATGTCAATACTGTATGGTGGGTGCTGATTCAGACCTTTCGGGTGTATTGAAAGACCATTGTTTTGTAAAGGGCGCCGCGTATGCTTCAGGCAGCTGCACAAGCTTTCGATACTGGGAGGGGCCTGTCGGCCACGCATTCACACTGCAGAAGCTATACGCACCATGCAAAGCCAGTCCTGCTGCAGTTCAAAATAAGGCGAACGAAGACAGCCATTGCGACAAGAACAGGGCTCGAAGAAAAGCCAGTGTCATGAGCCTACACAACGCATCAGCGACAAGAGTCTGCAAGTTGGAACTGAAGCTGGTATGTGTTAACAAGGACGTCCTGTGCGTCAAACGTTTCCAAGCTACTTCGCGGCATCATCCTTGAACAAATAGGGGCCCACGGCACGAGTGTTGCACCGTGCTTTTGTTTTTCGCACGTCTTCTGACGTGTCATGTCCCCACACCAATGTAGTTGCAACTAGTACTTTATTTATATGTTCAGGAAATATCTATCAACTTCTATTAAGCAAAAAATGTCCCCACGTAGTGAGACCAGTACTTCCAAGATCCCTGTTATATAGCTGCATGGAAAGTTCTCATGTCTCTCCATTGAAAACCAACATCTTTGCGACGATAACAGTAGTTAAACGCAATCCGCCAAAAAGTAATTAGTCGTAAAGGAGATTCCAAGGCTCGGGTTTCTGACCAAGTTACGGTCTATGCTAGCATGCAAGCGTGTGTTCACGCTCGACTGGATCAGAGTCGAACAACTCCAAGGAAATCTTGTTAAGGGTCTAGACTTTTTGGGGTTCGAGATACGAAAATACTGTTTTGGGCATCTCCGCTTTGGATGCCTGCAAGATCTGGGATCGAGTCCGGAAGACCAGACTCAAGACAAGAAACTAGTGAAACTCGCCATTCTTACTGATGGCTGCGAAAGCTCATACCTAACATGCGCCTAAAACTTTGTGCACGTGGCAGTGACTAATTTGCTGGCAACTGTTTTGAGCTGCTCGAAACGATCCAGAACTCAGACGTCCTGCAGCCAGTCGCGCCAAGTCTTGCCAATTTCAGTAGCAACTCTGTTCGCATTCTCCATGCCAATGTCAATGGCACGTATCAAATCCCTCCGCAAAACCAGAGAGTTTAGGGCCGGGCCTTCCATCGGGCCCTTCGGCTTTGGTGGGAAATCGTCGCACAGCTGGACCGGCAAAATCTTCAGAGAATTTTGGTGTGCGTATTCAAGCTCAACATATGTCTCGTATCTGGCCCCGGTGACCTCGCCGTAGTCATCTGTACAAAAGGCAAGCAATGCTTTGGCTTGATACAGTCCGACAGCGGTCTGTGGGCCAAAGCTGTCTCCGTGTCCAAGCGTCTCGACCATGAATGTTGGAACATCTGCCTCATCTAGCAACTCTTTGACTCGCTTCATGTAGACCACAGTGGCATCTTTCGTAAACCGTCCAGAGAACATAAGATGAATCCTTTGTGATGGAAGAGGTGGTGCTGCAGGTGGCATGAAATCTGAATCTTCGCTTTGCGGAGGTGGGGGCACAACCTTCACAGCTTGTCAGAGCTACTGCCCAGGTCGAGTTGTAAACAACCATGCGCCAAGCAAAGAACTCGACAAACCGTTGACCCAACTCTGATCCGGCTCGGGTCGCTAACCCTAGCCCCTTTATCAAAGCTGCTTCGAAGCCATGAAACAAAAACATAAAAACATGGTCGTCAGATCCAATATGCCAAATCCAAAGTCCAAGCTCTAAATTCCAATTCGTTGGCAGGTGCCTTGATGCAGACTGCGTGAGTGTTTCTGATATCGATCCACTCCTTAGAAGTTTTGGGGCTTAGGGTGTCGGCAAGTTTTCGGGAACAAAACTGAATGTCTGAGACTGTGTCTTACCACCGCCACCACCACGACTTCACCACCACTGCTACTCCTCCTCCTCCTCCTCCTCCTCCTCCTCCTCCTCCTCCTCCTCCTCCTCCTCCTCCTCCTCCTCCTCCTCCTCCTCCGCCTCCTCCTCCTCCTCCTCCTCCTCCTCCTCCTCCTGCTCCTGCTGCTCCTGCTGCTCCTGCTGCTCCTGCTGCTCCTGCTGCTCCTGCTGCTCCTTCTCACGCACAACCAGCGCCTAACAAGCCCTCGACTCCTTGGACCGAAGCTTCGGTGGGGTCGACGACGACGAACACGACGACGACCACGACGACCACGACGACCACGACGACCCTGGGCCAAAGACTGAACCGCATGGTGTACAACATCGAGAGAGATGAGGAATGGGCACCGTAGACGCAGGCATCCCACAGAGTGGAATGGAATGTGTTGTGGCAACCTCCGATGACTCACCCAGGCATGTAGGGTTTCGGAAGGTGAACAACCTCCCAAGGGAGACACTTCGCGCCTCCCAAATTGAGAAAATGACCCGTGTGAGGCGCCCAGAGTCGGACGGGTTAATCCTCCGAGCCAGATTGCACAAGTGCTTCTTGCGCTGGATTCACTGCAGCGACGGATTTTGCTTTTGCCGGCATGCCTCTCCCTCCCATGCCCTCGACATTTCAAATCCCCAATATATGAGGGACACGTAAGGACAATTCAAACCTAATCAAAGCTTATTCGGGTTTTCTAAGGGCATATTTTGGCCCCTTGGGGCGCTTGAGGCTATAAACTCCAGCGCGCAATGGCCTTGGAAGAGTTGGGCGTGGATTCGGATATTGAAAGTTAAGGTGTTTCTTTCCTTTTCTGCTGCTACGACCACTGCAACACCAACCACTCCCACTGCTGCTTCGAAACTTGTGTGCGAGAATTAAGGCCCCGACCCCTGCGGCCAGCTGGGCCTCACAGATGGATCAGGTGACCAATGACATGCAACACTTCCTATCAGCCCTATCAGTTTGCTCGAACTGCGCGCGCACACCCAAGACTGAATTGTGACGAAAACAACTCCCTGCATAAATGACACTAGCTACACCCCCCGAATACTTAAGCTCTACGTACATGCCATATGAAATCTCCCAGATTTGGCATCTGCACTCCAATATACTGCCTCACTACGGCGGAACACTATGTTATGAAACCGAGTCGCTTGTTGGAGCATCTGCGAGGGCAGCTTCAGCTGCGCGCCGCCCAGTGTGACTGCAATGCAATGATGCAGCATGGTATAGCAACACGCGAACTATGTTAGCACAACGCCGAAAAGGCAAGTGTGCTTGTAGATAGTATCCGAACCTGGGACATGCCTCCCAGGAATCCCGCGGAGGATGGGCGCTAAGTCTTGTAAACAGGCCAGGCGCCGACACCACACGCTCAGAGAACCTTGCCTTCGACCGCCAGATCTTCCATGAGTTCCTCTTCGCTCGATATGTTGAACACCTACGCCGATGGGGCATCCCTGAGCCCTTCCTCTTTGCACTCTGCAAACATGAGCGACCGGTGTTGCAGCGATGATTCTGGAGATGATGATACTGCAGCTGCGGCTGTGATCAACCATCTACACTAGGGCTTTGTGCTCATCACAATGCGTCCAGCTGGAAGCAATGCTTACATATATGTGCTTAGTCACCCCGAAGGGATTGCCCTGCTGCTGATTGTTTCTTATCATAATTATCAAATATAGATCTTTAGAGAATGCAGATCTACGGGCAAAACGAACATTCTGCCATAGAATTTACGGGCAAAACATGCCATCTTCCCGCAGGCTTAGAACCGCCTTTTTACAAATACATTGTTCACGACATGAAATGCTGCAATTAATGCGGCGAAAAACGGCAATCCTCCCCTGGAAAAACATCCTGTACATTGTACAGGACAAAAGCATGTTCCCCGGCAAACCGGCAATCGTTGTGAGGTAGATCTGGACGACTTTAAAGAAGTATGTATATGCGCTAGAAGCCCTTGTCGCCTGCATGGAAGTCATGTGGGCTCATGCAAAAAAAACAAGCGTACAAGCGTGAATTTGAAATGTTGTAAGAATACGGTGAAAAAATCGCCTTTTCCAGTGGACGATACGGAGAAAACCCACCGCACTTTGCCCGTTAGTTGTGCGGGAAGAGAGCGCATTCCTCGGAGATCAACAATCACAACACACGCTTAGCTTTTGGAAACTGTTCGAGTCTGGTTGCTTCAAAAATGGTCCTGGTCAGCGGATCAATTTGTTGGTCATGGTGGATTTTGCGTAAACGCTATCCCAACCCTTTCTGCGAAAAGAATCAGATAGCTACATCATCAGCATGCTATTAAACCATACTCCTGTGGACCTAGACCGCTTTCAACAAATATGTACATGCTCTACAAGTCTTTGCTGTCTGCATGGACATCATGCGTGTTCGTGCAACAATCACGTATATTGTTCATGCCGTGAAACACTGTAAGAACGCGGCGAAAACATGCAATCTTCCCGTAGACTGTACGTAAACGTTGCATTTTTCCTGCACCCACGGGCCACCGACAAGCACTGCACAAATCGAAACGCGGCCCCCACGCAAACCACGCGTAAAAGACCAAGTGTGAGCCCGGAGACAGCCCGCGGCTGAAGGGAGTCGGGTGGGAGCCCCGGTGCCGCGGCCCAGCCATCCAGATCACCGGATCACCCATCCAGATCATGCGGAAAGACCGAGCCAAGTGGGCGCAAGCAGCAAAGTGGGAGCCATGTGCGTGGGGGAGCCATGAAGGCAGGCAACTGGGAGCCCATCCAGACCATGCGGAGAGAGGGAGCCATGAAGGGAGCAGGAATCAGCACCGCGGCCCACCCATCCAAGAGAGGGAGCCATCGGCCAGCGCGGACCACTTTCTTTCTGAGGAGAGGACCGCAAACCATATCTGGCTGGGGAAAAAGATTTATGACAAACCGTAGGACCCCAATCCCCAAAACTTGACTTCAAGAACCAAACGTGTGTCCAAGAACATGTGATTTACGAGAACTCTCATTTTAAAAACTCCTTGGCCTTCAGCCCACAGTCTGCTGGCAGTATCACGTGCCTGGCCGTCCACAGCAGGCAGCTAGGATGAAGAAAGCAATGAGACAGACGCAGTGCTTCAGCTTCCACGGGGAGTTTCAGGTTGCGGCTCTCAAACTATCCCTTACAGTGGAAGTAAGTCGCACCAAACCTAGGACCAAACGGCGCCCTCTCTCTTTCAGACAGATGCGTTGATCGAGAATGCAGGTAAGGTACAGGATCCCGTCAACTGTGGGTGATCTAGCTTTTGGGAATGATACAATGATACAACTAAATATGAAATTCCTCTGTGACTGAAAGATGACGTCCTTGACCGGTGAAACTAAGTTGACACTGGATTCAGAAGGATGTGACAAACACTAGATGGATGTGTGAAAGCTGTTGGTAAGGGCTATGGCTTCGGTGGTTATATCCACATGTCCCAAGCTGCAGGACTTGAAAGATAGCTAGCAGCAGCTGCCTCAAAAAGGAAGCTCCGACCCTGTGGGCCTAAGGTGCCAGTAGCTGAAGAATCAAGAAGTAGGGTACTGAGGTTGCCACCGCATGAGACAGAAACACTTGACCAGAAAGTGATGCTAAACACAACAGCTCTCTCCATCTCCAGACACCATAAAATGTGGGAAGGCGGGGCACAAATACCGATACGGCACTGTCGGCTCTGGTGGTGCTGATGGCAAGCTTGAGTCTTGCAATCCTCGGCGACCATGCGCAATCCATGACTGTTGTTGCAAGAAGATTTGTCGAAATCCTAGTGTGGGCAACAGATACAACGAATGAGAACCTAGTCCATCCATCATCATGCATTAAGGGTTCCGTTGCTTACTACACGCTCAGCTACCACGATGCACACGAACAGGGGCGGACCAGACTATGCGAAGGAACCACATGTACGACATATCGGCTCAAAGGTCACTGCAAAATGCCTAGCCTTGAGACTACGCTCAGCTTACAAGCTCTATACCGGGCTTGGCTGGCCGGTGAAGCAAGCAACCAACCAAATATTCGCAGCTTCCGGGAATGTGCCCAGCAGACATTGGGGGCCTCAAGTTACTCTAGCCAAAGTCCATGAGCCTGGTGACGCAAGGCACAAAATTCGAGGTCTTCGCTGGCGATGCTCACCTGGTTCGCAAAACAAGTCCCGGTTGATGGTTCGTTTCTAGTACGCTTACAGATGCATTCACGTCTTCGCACTGGGCTAGATGCTCTGTGCGGCCAACTACCTCAATTGGACGATTCCAGCCTCGAAACGCGCAGCCTGCGATACGAACGGCTTGTTGGTAACCAGCGGAAGCCGATTGAAGTGCAAATTCAACGGCTCCTCTAGACTCCCCTGAGAAATCGCGAGGCCGTCTCCATCGCTGTACTCCCCTATATAGCGTGGTGGCGCACAAACTTCATAATCTCTCAGAAGCTGGGGCGCAATTTGCGAGAGCTGCGTATCGCAAGCTGGGCAATTCTCATGGGAAACAGCACATCTGGCCATCTGCATACCTTCGTCCACGAAGCCATGCACCATGATCCCTGTTGGCCTGGGCTCTGCGGTCCCATCTGTGCCTAGAAATAGCTCACAGAAGTGGCGAAGCTTGATGACAGCATACCCTGGATAGAAGTCCACTTCTGGCACGGGCTTCCAGCCACCTTCAGGTGATGATCGCCATGCTGCTTGAGCACCAGCACAGACACGCATTATGAGTAACACAGGTTCCTCTGCGAAAGCAAATCCATGTGGCAAAAGCTGCAGGATGGGACTGAACGCTACCACGTTTGTAGGTAGCGGCAGGTCGGAATCAATGATCTTGAAATGAGCACGTACATGGGGCGGTGTCACCATGAGGATATCGTCGTGGATCTGCGCAATGTCGCCTTTGCCCAGTTTCACAACAATGCCGTCCACACGGTCAGATATTGTGGTATGCTGGGATGCGAATCTCCGGGAGGGGTCCGAGGACGAGGCCGCACCTAGCAACAAGCTTGTGCGTCTGAGAGAAAGCACCCACCTCTAACCGATGCCGACCTTGAACCAGCTTGAGCTTGCATTCGCTAGGTTCTCTGCGAAATTTTCCGGGCAATCGCAAGGCCTTAATGGAGGGATCTGTGCCATTGATACCTCAGCTACTCACCTCGAAGAATCAGGGACGGGACTTGTAGGCTTGAAATGGAGTAACAGAAAATTGGTGCTCCCGAATCTGGGATCTGGGTCGAGCCTCGTGTGCCTGAAATGCTAGACCCTAGCTCTTACAGCAGCTATACACCCTAAGAGGCCATAGCAATCATGACTACTACGAGCACAAATCCCAACTACTACGACTACAGCCCTGCTATTCCTTGAGGCAGGGCCCCATACGCACATCCAATCTCGGCACCTAGAGATGCCAAGAGGGCAGCTTGTTCCTCTGTCGTTGTCTCATGATCAGCTGGCAAGAAGGACACCTGTTGCTGCGGTTCATCAACATCAACGCTGCCACCGCCAAAATCACTGCCTCCTCCTACTCCTACAACGACGACTGCTACCACTACTCTACATCCACTACCACTACCCCTTCTGCCACTACTAGCACCACTACAGCCACTGCCTACCACCACCACCACCAGCACCAGCACCACGGAAACAGACTTAAAACCCGGTTTTACGCCGATGGCGCAGATGGTTGGGACGGTCTCTGTTCAGGGGCACTAATCGCAGCAGTCCTACTTGTTCTGTTTGGTTGGTGGTCCTCCAATAGCTGGTGATGTAGTGTTTGGGCTTGTAAGTTACATTTTCTCAAGTGTTTTGATGGCTCGACAGGTGCGTTAGGACACATCGGCTTACATAGACTTTTGCGTTGAGATGCACCTACCTCCTTCCACGCTTGCTCCTCTCCCTCTCTCCCGGCTTGAGTGTGGTCGTTTCCGGCTGGTCGAGGCTTGCACTGGATCATGCACTCCTTTCGTGTTCGGAATTCTTGGGGCGGGAGTCTTCTTTGGCCTCGTTTGAACCTCTAAACGTGATATGGGGAGTTTTGATGAGAGTTGAAACCGATTAGGCCTGTTTCGGGGAGGTTTGAAAGCGGTTTTAAGCTGAGCCTATGCCAGGGCTTGCTCGTGCTTGCCACGCTGGTGCAGAGCGAACTTCAAAACAAAATCCGGTTTCAAGCCTGTGTTACCCCATATAGGGTTGAAACCGGTTTAACTGGCTTCGACCCCATACACGAATAGGCGAGCGTAACACCGGAATCAGTCCAAACCAACCTAAGCCGAATCTGCAACCAACTACTTGCCGACTTCAGGATCAGAGATGGGTCCTTCGGCATCTGTCTACCTAATGTCTTGCCAGTAAGTTTACTGGCAATCGCGGCTGGGCAGCGAGCCCGTGTAAATCAAGCCACCCAACCCTGAAATCTGAAACCTCAGCCCTTGCTCTTGCCCCTGGCCATTTTGTAGGTAGACTGGTATGATAGGTGTATTAGGAACATTGGGAATTGGGAACTGCATGAGTATTTCTTCATGTCCTTGTTTTCAGCTGACATTCGGGCATCAAGCATCGGCGGCCTCTTCTACAGGCTTGACCTCCTTCGATGTCGAGGCTGCCGATCCGTGACTCATCTGAACAGGTGTGAGGCGGCTTCGTGCGTAGCGCAGTCAAGCTCAGGAGGAATTGCTCAGGTCAGGTCTCATCGGAAGTGTGTTGATGCTTCTATTGTTTGCACACACGTGGCATCGTATCTAACTGGTGAAAGTTGGGAATACCTAGCAGAGAGTGAAGAAACCTTCAAGCTTGAATCCCTGGCCTCTCATTCCAAGCCCAAACAATTAATGAAGAAAAGTTGCATTCACCGCCCCAAGCCCTCTCCTTCCACCGCATGAAACGATGATGTACCCTGACGACGAAGCTTATGAGGAATGGAACTCAAAGTCCTAATCCCGGTCCTCCGACCACTGTTGTTTGGGCAAAGCTCTGCTTGCTCTGCCCTGCAGAGGCACTTCGAGGGAGGCCAGGTTGGATTCCAGCAAGGATTGCTTCGGCCATCTCTGCGCATCCACAGCCTCCGGTACCAAGGCCGCCCGCATTCGGAAGGTGGACTCCTCGGTATGAACGACGCGCAATGGCCGACGCACCTTCATGGCCAGTCCCTGGCACGGGCAGGCTTTGGGGTTTACACCTCTTCGTGCAACGCCATCACACTCTACCAAAACCAAAGTCAAGCCAGGAACCCCAAAGCACAACGAATGATTAAATCTGCTGCCCGGTACACGCACCATCCCTCCCCCCCGGCCCCCCCCCCGCACGGCTCTACCCACACATGTGTTAAAATCCTTGGCGAGGCCTGGCCACTCCACACGCGCGATGCATTGTTCGAGGCCCCCTCAACCTCGAACATCGTCAGCTTCTGTTGCATGAGCTGAATGGCCTCTTGAAAGCTCTCCCTAGCATGGTCCAAATTTCCGAGGCCGCGATGTATGTCTCCAAGGAAGTTATGGTAAGTCGCGTTCCCCGGCTCCAGCTGTGTTGCCCTTCTGGCTCTAGGAAGAGCGTCCTCCAGGTCTCCGACTTGCCACATCATGCCAGCAAGCATGAACTGCGCGAACGCATCGTTTGCACGGGAGTCTAAGCGCCCCAACTCCTCTCAAAGGTAAAGAGCACTGCAGTCGCTTGTAGATTTGGCTAGTCAATCAACCCTATCGGCCCCCATATGTCCAACAAAGGCAGGCTGTGACCAATGCTTTAAGATGGGAGAACCTGTTCTGCAAGACCGCTATACAGTGCTCTGAGAACCTAGATGTGGCTGGCATCGGTTTAAACGGTTTGCTATTGGTACCTGGGGCTGCGCCGCAAGCTGCTCTGCGCCGCTGTCGTTCTGCACAGTGGAGCCTGGCACCACGTTGATGGGCACGGCAATTAGACGCTGCAATGCCAGCACAAGGCCCTGACAGACATGCAAAAACTGCAGCACTCTCTGATAAACCAGAACGGCACGATTGTCTTCACATCTTGGTATGCAGTTCGAAAACGAAAGCGCCGCAAGTTTTTTGGATTCATCCTTGTACTCAACTGGAAGTTTTCTGCCATCCATTCTCGCGCTAGAGTATGGAACTTGAGAAATCAGGCTAATGACTTTGGTAGAGTGTGTCAAGACCAAAGCCCGCCATGGCCGGGACCGCGGACCACCTGTCCAACCACTACCATGCACACTTATTGTTGGTTGGCTTGCCCGGAACCATGTAGATGCTCATGCACGCAACATGACACCAAACACAAAAGCTCAGTCTGACCCTGTTCCCTATCATACGGTCCTAGTAGGAAAGGGAAGAGGCAGAGCTAAACCCGTTAGCCATGAAGGGAGCCCAGTCAGAACCACGGCGTTTGCATGCCGTACTTGAGGTGAGCATGACCAGCTCAGCGCAGAATGCCATGGCGTGCACTGTTTTTGACTGTCAAAGTGCTCAACTGGCAAGGGAACACGACTAAAGAGTTTGGCCTGCTAATCTGGCAGAACATCCTTGAAAAATGCTCGTACTGAGCCAGTGGGGCGGGTGCTAGGGGATATGCAACATTGGAGAGATGATTGTATCTAGTTCTCGGACCTGGCTTTCAGTGAAGGCCTTGTAATGAATAGACAACATCTTTTTGATCTCCCCAAGCCCCAACATCTACCAACTTTCAGGGTGAGGAGCAGGTGCCTTCAAAGTATGCATGTGTTGGAAACTTTGTGTGGTCACTTCCGCTTGGGCCCGGCTGAGCAGGTGTGCTTGGATAGATTGAGCGTTTTCGTGGAACACATCTTGCAAATTTCTCACGGGCTTTGCCAGCTCACCGTCTGCTGGCAGCCGCGGGCAGATGATCTTGGAAGAGTGAGATTTGGTGCTGGATTCCACAGGACAGTCGCATTCGGCGATGCGAGATCCGCACTCAACTTAGCGCTAAAACCTCGCCAGACGCAGCCACTGATGCCCTTGCACATCTTGCGTTTGACCTTTTGCCGTGCATCGCCATGCAGGCAAGACTGAGAAGTCTCCATGATATGCTGTGATCCCACATCCCAGTTGAGGATAAACTGCGACAGTAGTCAGGCTTCGCAGACTACGTACACATGGACAATTGTTTCAGAGATGCATCTTCTGTGACCACGTGACGGAAGATGACTGTCATCGTTTCTGGTCGCGTCATAACGAAGCGAGCTTCGACAACAGTCTCTGCCTTGCTCCTCTGCAAAAGGCCCCTGCCTCTGCTTGTAATCAGTTTGGTGCAAGTGTACATGTTTGCTTGCGGCTCATCCCGAAGAGTACAGACTCAATTGTTTTGCCCGTGCTTAGGTTGTCTGTCTCCTCTGATACTTCTTCTGTTGCACATGCATGGGTGGCAGTGAGTGGTAGACCACAGGCATCTTACTTTTCAAGCTGGCAATTGTATTCATCTTGCGCTAGAAGCGAAATTCAAGGGAACCACGGAGGGAGCAGATGGGAGCCACGGTTCTGGCCGCGCATCCGCCCCAGAATGAAGGGATTGACCCAGCGATCCAAGCCCAAAAAGCCGCAGGGAACCAGAATTTCGGCCACCTTTTCCGAGGAGGGAACCCCAAACAATTCTCGTTTGGGGAACGAATCAAAAGCATTCAAGCCTCAACAAAGACCAACACCCCGACCCGCAATTCCTTGCCTGGGGCTTCCGAACTGGCAGCTTGTCCTGCTCCTGCCGCCTGGTGGAGATTGCAGGCAGGCGGAATGTGGGGGCCATTATGTTCAATTTGTGACAGAAAGGCTTTTGCCAAGTCCGGAACGATAAAGTTTGTCGATGTTGCACCGATTTCAAGTCTTTAAAGTGTAGTAAAGGCACGTGTAGACTGTAGGCTCTACTATTTAATTGGCATGGAGATGCCAGGCTCCAGGGAGTTTCCAGAACGATGTATATGTAATGTTTTCCAAACGTATGAGTTTGGAAATATAGTGAACGATTAAATCTTTGAAGTTCAAGATGTTTCAACCACATTTCCAATCTGTGTACATTCAAAAGCGGCCGGACTGCTAAAACAGCTGAAAAGGCTGCCATCACACGGAGCAGAAAGCTCCCACATGCATAGGGGTCTACTGCTGGGGTTCTGGGACGCTGGTGAATCACGTCATGCAAGGCAGGGAGCCCACATCCCCCCTTCTAATGCACAGATGCGGTTTGACTCACACTGGGAGAGGTTTCTGGCCATCACTCTGTAGTCCTCCTTAAGGAGATCTTTTTTGGGGTAATAGGGAATAGCCTACAAGGATGCCCAACTCTTAACGTCAACTCTAGTCGTTCCATCCAAAAGAGGTTCCCGGCGGTGAGTCCCTTTAGGGCATTTGTCAAGTCAGCACACGGCTGTCGGGATTGCACGCTAAAGAGGGGACGTGTCCTCAAATAAAGTTTCTTGTATCAAGGCCTTACCCAGTCTTGCATACGTTCAAAGAGACCGAGAGTTGATCTACCTATCAGATTCACCTAAGAACGTGAAAACTTTGCATCGCAAACTGCAAGAACGACACGCAGCAGGGCCTCGTCAGCACCTTCAACCTCCTCCTTCCACGCCTGCAGCAAGGCACTCTCGGAAAAGTAGCATGAGGTCAAGCCAGCTGCGGTCACGCATTATTCTTTTGGGGGCTTGGGTGATGGGACTTGGTAGAGGCTTCTGCAGTGTGCCACCTTCTCCTCGTCCAGCTGCTTCTTCGCCTCTCTGGATCGTCTTGCCAGGTATGCATCTCCAGGCCGTAGCTCCAACGCTGAGCGCAGATGACACTCCGCCTGGGTGTAGTTGCAAAGGTGGTCCAGGTAGATCTCGCCCAATGCGACGTGGCTCCGAGCAACCTCCGATTTTCCGAGGCGAAGGGCTTCCTCCAAGGAGTCGGCGGCTTGCCGGAACTTACCCTGCTCCAGCAGCGCAAAACCCAATTGCCAATGGGCCTCGGCATTTTGCGGGTCTTTCTGCACAACGTCGCGGAAGCAGTTCTCCGCACCGGCACTGCTACCGTCGAAGTGCCGAGTCTCTATATGCTCCGGCTCCAACTCCTCCAAAGGGCAAGGAGCTCTCCCACGGCTCTCAGGCTTAGGCTATTTACTCTCACACCCCAAACTTTTCGCATAGGGCTTCAGTCTCTGCAGGCGTCTGACGCTTAGATTCCGTAGTTTTATCATCGCAATACCTGGGGCTGCGCGGCGATCTGCGCCGTGCCGCTGCGGCTCCCCGAACTGGGGCCTGGCACCAAGTTGATTGACACGACAACAAAAACCCGAAATTCTCTCAAGCCTGAACAAAAACCAACACCCCGACCCCCAAAGCCTTGCGAACTGCCAGCTTGTTCTACTCCTGCCGCCTCGACCTGGTGGAGATTGAGGGCATGCGGCTTTCGGGGTCTGCGGGTTGCACCCGTATGGTCAACTTGATGGAAGGCTTTGGCTAAGCCCGAAACCCCAATGCTTGTAATTGTTTCTACTTCGTTGCTGTTGTCTCGCAATCTCTCTCTCTCAGTCTCTCTCTCCCAGTCTCTGTCGCTCGCTCGCTCCGTCCCTTGAGTTCGGTGTGTTTTTCTGTCTCCTTCTTTCTTTCGAGTACCGTAGGGGCCGGAGCCCCTACACTACTTGCGCGCCCCGCTGTTCGAGGCGTAAACTAGGTCGGGCCGGACCGGTCCCAGAGGTATCCTTGCATTGCCAAACTCGAACACGCGGCTCGGCTCCCCCACACTTCTGGGTTTCGCTGAAACTGAGTTCCAAGACCTCTCTTAGGTCGCGCCTAAGTTCTGGCTGCGATTTATCCCGTTGCAGAGCCTGGACCTCCAGCGCACATGGCACAAGACAGCTATCTGGGTTCAATCTCCGCAGTCCCTTCCCTGTAGCCGACAAGAGGCACGGCACACATAAACGTGGCACCTTCAAATGAATTCAGATGAATTCTGACTTAGCACTCCTCACTATTTTATGTGCCCGTCTATCTCCAGGGTCTCCCACCCACAAACGCAAACGATCCCTCAGCGCTCTCGAGCGCTTTGTCAAACTGTCTGCTACTTGTACCTCTGCTGGCACCCAACGCAAGCCACGGCACTGCTGACGAAGCACGACTACGCTGATTTCGAACCTCTTTTCTTGAAAACTTGTTGAGAGTCTATGTATCGCGTCCCATAGTCTGCGGGCGTCAGTAACGGTACTACTTCTACCAAAGGCACATCCCACAGCGTCGAGCTGAACTGGCCATCGATCAAGAGTCTGTCCTCAGCCCTGTCCAGCGAGGCCGGGCTTCAGCAGCCAGGGTGCTCCTCAAGACTCGCTGGTGTCGAAAGCTGTTCCACTCCAGCAACGACGCTGGCTGTGGCTTTGCCAGTGCATCTCGATGCTTCGCTGCGACGACCAAGCCACCTTGAAATTTGCCGTCAGGAGCATTCGCGCAACCGGAGTCGCTGTAAGAAAAAGGGGTCGCGGTCAAAGTCCCCGTCAACCCGCGGGCGGCGCAGGGATTGCACCAGATCGCCACGCCTTGCTTGCTGACTTGCTGCCGGCTTTCCCGTCGAAGAAGCGTCCACCACGAGAGCCTCGTTCCCTCCTCGATGAGGCACTCAACGTCTGCCGCGAAGACAAGGAGTTCGCACCTGCGCCTGAGCCGGCATCACCGTCTCTAAAGTCGCCAGGCGCAGCGCCAGCGCTCGTGCCATCCGCGCCCTCAGAAAGGTCGAAGTTCAGGGTCGTCGTCAAAGCGCACGATCTCTGCCTCCGGACGGCACTACCAATGTCAGTTTATCCCGTAGCAGAGCCTGGACCTCCAGCGCACATGGGCAGCTATCGTTTTGGCTTCAATCTGCGCAGTCCCTTGCCTGTAGCCGTCACGAGGCGCGGCACACATAAACGCGCCACCTTCATGGCTACGCGGCATTGGGATTGGCAAACGGGGTTAATTTGGGGTCACCCGGCGCCGGCAACGTCTTCGATATGTCTATAGTGACCTCGAAGCTCAAGGCGGTGTTGGAAGGGAAAGGGCTCGACCGCCTGCACTGTACCGCGGGTTGCCCACTTGGCCCCCTCTGCGTGATGCAACAACAGAGACAGCAGACTTCCCCTGACTGAACTGAAGTCATGACATAGGACAACCAAACAATAGAAGAGAATGCGAGAATCTCATGATCCACATCATGACAGACCACGTCGTGAATGCGACTTGGGCCGCGAGGATGAAGAACAATAAGTGGTGGAGACAAGGAATGAGACAGAGGAAGAACACTTAAAGAGGAAAATGAAAGGGCTAGAAAAGGCCAACGCAATCTTTCCAGCAATGCAAAGCTTGTCCTTTCCTAGGGCTTTTCTTCTCAACCTTCTCTTTCGAAAAGGAACAGAGCGTGGGAGATGAAGGATGTTTGAGCCCCCTCCCCTCTTTCAGACCCCCATTGCCAGAAGCCAAAGTGCACCTAAAGAAGAAAAGCAAAAGAATGAAGACAAACTTTCGGAAAGAAGAGGCCAGTAATATTTGTCTTGCGAACTGTTAAAACACAAAGGCGCCGCGTTGATGCACCTGCGTGGTCCTTCCCTTTTTTGAGTTGACCCGAGCGAAACTAAGTACGTCAACAACATCCACCGAGGCCTCGCCTTTACAGGAGTCCGGGAGCAGGCTCCACCTCCATGCCCAACCCAGCCTCACCTCCCCACCCCCACCCCCCTGTCTTGCCAACCCTCCACGAATCCCCCACCGCCCCCTTTACTGGCCCCTACCTTTTTGCTCTTGTTTTCCCACTGAGCCTGTTACAACAGCATCCCAACAAAAAAGGAATGATTGCTCCCAAAGCCCTGCAGCCTAACAGCACCTGCACACCTGCGATCTGCTGGGCAGGACGAAGCCCAGGCGGGTCGCACAGCGTCAATATTAAGCACGGTTCAAATTTGTTTACGTTAACTAAATTAGTTAAGCTGTTCTAACTCATGGAATGAACTAATTTGTCTTAACTCATGAAATCAACTAATTTGTTGAAGTCACTGACTTCACCGAAATAAAATCATACATGAAGTGTGTTTACAAAATACACTCACACATTGAGATTAATTTGGCGGAGCAAACTTCTAGCAACGACACTGTTGAACAGATTTGATGAAACTAAACAACTTAATTACTGGAACTGGCTCTCAACTGTTTGTGTTTACCGTTTTTTAATATACTACATCCAGACATGGTTTACAGTGCTCCCAGGTACAATGCTTAAAGTTATATTGGGCCTGGAGGGGCCAGGCTCCAGAACAAATTTTTTAACTTCTCTATTGGAGCTGGAACAACAAGCCAGTTAAAGCGTCATGAGATTCATGGCTTTCATGAAGTAACATGTTGACCATTCTCTCTCTCTGACACACCTTGAGTAGCAACTTCATGGGTCTTCGGGCTGGCTCATACAGGATTAGAACCACGAGGCCAGTTCACTCTCATATCTTCTGGACCAAGACAAGAAGACCCTAAAATCCATCCAAACTGTCAGCCTGGCCCATGAATCCGCCCTTGAGACCATAACTCTCATGCAATATCTTGATCTAACCGTTCACACCCTTGGAATCGCCCGTGACAGCCTATCTCTAACCCCTGAAGGGTTTAGGGTTTAGGGTTTAGGGTTTAGGGTTTAGGGTTTAGGGTTTAGGGTTTAGGGTTTAGGGTTTAGGGTTTAGGGTTTAGGGTTGATCTGGGGTTGAACCTTAATGTTTGGTATACTAACCGGCTTAAACCGCTGCACCCACCTTGAGCCTTGAGACCCTAACTCTGACATCTTGGTGTAGCCGTTCACACCCTTGGAATCGCATGCCAGGCCAACCGCTCTCTCCCTGTCCCTTGAGACCCAACCTCTGTTTCCAAGCCACTAAGAGCCCACCCTCGCGACCCCAACAGCCTGTCTAACTTCGCGAACTATGAAAATAAACATGTAGATACGCTTGACGCTTCTGCTTGAATCACTCTTGAAACTCGACAATTTCAAGCCGCTGTAACTTTTCAAAAAATGGCAAAAGGCGTTTACAAGGGGAGCAGTCGAAGCATGCTGTAGATATCAGATGGGTTCAATAGGTCTTTAAGGTTTAAACATGCTCCTCCTGTAAACACGTGGTTAGACTCTGATTTCTAATCGGCCTGCAGATGCCAGGGTCTCGGGGGTTTCCAGAACGATGTAAACAACGGTTTTACTTCTTATTGAGCGTGTGAACTTTGAAATATATTGAGATATTGAATAGTTGAAAGTAAACGCATTTTCAACTGTGTACACTAAAATCGGCCTCGAATGCTAAGAATGCCAAAAAGGCTGCCATCTCACGGAGCAGATAGGTCCTGCCTACATAGGAGTCGAGTGGTGGGGTTGTAGGACACTTCCTCCTGAATTGGGGTTTTGTCTCATCTGAGAGATTTCTGGCCATCACTCTGTCGACCTCCTTAAGGAGCTCTATTTTGGGGCAATAGGGTATAGCCTATAGCCTATAAGGATGCCCAACTCTTGATCTAGTCGTTCTGTCAAGAAAAGGTTCCCGGCCATGAGTGCCGTTAGGGCATTTGTCAAGCCAGCACACGGCTCATCAGGGTCGGGATTACACGCTGAAGAGGGGACATGTCCTCAAATAAAAATTCTTGGATCAACGCCTTACCCAGTGTTGCATACGTTCAAAGAGACCGGAAGTGGATCTACTTCTGAGATTCTCTTAGAACGACACGCAGCAGGGCCTCGTCAGCACCTTCAACCTCCTCCTTCCACGCCTGCAGCAAGGCACTCTCGGAAAAGTAGCATGAGGTCAAGCCAGCTGCGGTCACGCATTATTCTTTTGGGGGCTTGGGTGATGGGACTTGGTAGAGGCTTCTGCAGTGTGCCACCTTCTCCTCGTCCAGCTGCTTCTTCGCCTCTCTGGATCGTCTTGCCAGGTATGCATCTCCAGGCCGTAGCTCCAACGCTGAGCGCAGATGACACTCCGCCTGGGTGTAGTTGCAAAGGTGGTCCAGGTAGATCTCGCCCAATGCGACGTGGCTCCGAGCAACCTCCGATTTTCCGAGGCGAAGGGCTTCCTTCAAGGAGCCGGCGGCTTGCCGGAACTTACCCTGCTCCAGCAGCGCAAAGCCCAATTGCCAGTGGGCCTCGGCATTTTGCGGGTCTTTCCGCACAGCCTCGTGGAAGCAGAGTTCCGCACCGGCACTGTCGGGGTCGAAGTGCTTCACGCTGCCCTCCTCGCGCGCTCGCCTCCGTGCAGTTCTGTCGGCCTGCCAGCGGGTAGGGGGCTGGCGAAGTGTGAAGGACGTTGCAGGAAGCACTTCAAGGCTGAAGGGACCCGCCCCTCCCGACCCCCAAATCGATCGCACGAAACACCACGGCTGCAGAGGCCGTGGTCCGACTACACAGCTCCCCAGCCCTTAGGGGCAAGACATCACTTACACCCTGCAGGAACCTGGAGCTCTGCATTCTCCTGCAGCTGCTGCCGCAAATAGGCCTTGACATCGCATCTGGAGAAAGTCAGGGCCTGTAGGGTTTAGGGTGATACGAGAAGATGGTTGTAGGGTGAAGGCCCAGGATCTTTGTGTCATAGGGCGTGGGGCCATTTGGATGTCATCTGGTGGGTCCCTCGAGACATCACCAACCTCACCAGCCGGACGCAACACAGCAAAAGGACATCTCTGCCTGGCCTCCATCCTTTTAATCAACACTCATCCATCTTCCATGAGAAGCTGCAGTTCCATCGGCACTTCAGCTACCCCAAGCCCCACGCTCAGCCGAAGGATTTGAGCTGCGAGACCAGGAAGGCAGGCGGGTCGTGAAAGCAAGCTGCTAGACTTCCAACAGCTTTTTATGATGACTGGCAGCGCAAAGTAAAGTGGAGTAGAGTGGAGCGAAGTGCAATGGAAGAGAGCGAGGTACACGCCTGGCCTACAAAAGGGCTGCTCTTCCGGCCATTTACAGGAACAAGGAACCAGCAACACAGCAAGCAGCACCACTGACGACGGACACGACGAAACGAGGCTAGGCCCCGCCTATGCCGCATGCAAGCACGAATGCGATCATGCCAGAACCACGGAATGAGGGGCTTCTCATGTGGGGACCCACACCAGCCGCATGGGTTCGTGTCTGGTCAATGTAGCGGCGCTGTACGCCAGATTGCGCTAATGCCCCCTAGCCCAGAGGCCGGTCATGGGCGGGCATTAGATCCCGGCAAGGCTTCGAAAAATGCATGTAAAACACATGGCTGATCTGCAAAATTAGATCGGCACATGACCACGCTCAGAATCTCCGTATCTGCTAGGAGGTCTTCTAGAGCAAACCTTAGGAACAGACCACACTCATTATAGAACAGTGACAACAAAAACTACATCTTTCGACCCGACAAACTAGCATATTAGCAGAAGCAGCAAACTAAGCCATGAACAATGTGCAGCCTCTGGTTGGTATATCCCAGAGCAATTGTGAACGAAATGGCTTGGAAGGAAGGCGTGCACGTAGCAAGAAAGGACACTGGGTCAACATTGGCCTGTACTGGGAATTTGCAATACCTAAAAGGCTTCAGATCAAAGCGCACGTAGCCTCTGGAATCGCTAGACGCCTAGCAAAGAAGTGTCGCCATGGTTCGGGGGGGAGGGGGGGGGGTGTGGTGATGAGAGGCGGGAATGCTGTGTGCTTTTGCCTGCCATCTGTCATCTGCCGTCTCTGCAGCCATGACAATTGACAACGACATGAAAGCGTCAACAACTCAACATGTCTAGCAACTTCCTCCCTGAACCTCAAGGTGTACATGGTGCAGATGATACACCAGCTGCAGAGGAAAGCTGATCAATGTGTTACTCAGGTCAAGAAGACTGTTTTGCTGTGAGCACCTCGCAGATCTGTGGAGGCGCACGCCACATTTGTGACGGCCAGGTGCTCCACATCTTCAGAGATCGAGGCTATCGTCGTTGTGCTCAGGAACATGGCTTTGTCCACCGCAAGTTGAGCAACTTCTTTTCCGCCTAATTCTTGGCAAATCTCCTGCTCCAAAGTTCCGTCAAGCACGCGGCCCTGCAGTCGATGAAGTGAACCAAGATCCGTGATGGTAAGCTTTGCGATAAGCCCGGACTCCCCTGAAGGTAGCTTGCATGTATGAAGTGTGCGAATGTCGATGCCTGTGAGGCAAATGGCCAGTCTCAGTTTCTTGGTCATGCTGTCATGACCTCAAACAAGGAGGGAGCCAAAGCAACTCTTGCAACCCAGCCCTAACGAGATCCGTTCTCCCTACCGGTAACCGTAGTCTACCTGTCCGAAGGTTATTCTCGAGAGACCTCTGGCCATGCTCATGCTGTCAAAGTTTTGGACCCTGGGCAGTGGATTGAGGGCTTGGGCAGGTCCGACTGCCGAGACGGCCTGCGCAAGCGTTCACAGTGAACTTTGTTAGTGTGAGAGACGTCAGCTCCCAAGCAAGTTCAACAAGTTTTCGCAACCCTAGAGTATAATGCCAGCATCCTAGAAGCCCACAAAGCCCAGATATAGTCAGGGCCCACACGTGTGAAACAGCCCGCCCCATCCTTTTTCTTATTGACACAAGATTGGTTTAACCAAAAGCCGGATGTGTCCAAGCAACAACTGCCTACAGCAGCTTTCTAAGGCTCCCACCTATATGAGAACACAGCCGTTGCATTGCCAAGGCAGGATCACGTAAATGAAGTGAAAGAAAAGAGGTTCCTGTCATGCTGCATCGAATTTTCCAATGTACCATCATCTCGTCTGATCCATCAGGGCAATTTCGTGTGACCAGCTTCACGACTGTGCCCCTCCGCCAGCAACCGGAAATTGCATCTGGTGCGTGCCATGCATCGACCACCTTCTTCAGGAAAAGGTCTTCAAGCAGGGTTGTAACATCAACCTGATCATACTCATAGCCAAGCTCATCCAGAGTGGCCACTTCCCCTTTCTGTGAGCCTCCCAAGCCAACCCCATCCGATAAGTTCGAATGGGGAATATCTGCCAGGGAGACTTTGCCCTTCCCTACTTGTCCGGCAAAAAAAGCAACCTTTAGTCGCTGTCCGAGCTTAACAGCCTTTTGGATATTGTCCAGCCATCGGATATACCAATAGCACCCACAGAGCTTCTGCTGCCCATAGATGCGGAAGCACATGCATCTGCCCCGCTTCGTGGGATCAGGTGCATGTTTCCCGAAACCTGCGTGGCATGTTCGGTGCTTTTCTATGGGCAAGAATGCCAAAGCAAATGCACAAGGTCTCTTCTTCAAGTAAACCACGTGGACACTCCGAGACAACTTCTTCAAGTCGGGACAACCGTGTTACACCCATCACGCATCTGAGGCAAGGGCCATCTTCTTCGGAACAAGGAAAAACGCAAGCCACGGAGTCTCGTTCGAAGTGAGTCAGAGCCTCTAGGGCAGGGAATCGGGGATTAAATTAACCTCTAGTCACAGGCTTATGAAACCAAAGTTGCATGTTGGCAAAAAAGGCGTGTTGAAGTTCAGGGTTGGATCTTGAAAACGTTTTTGCCGATCTCCCGCAGGCGCCTCCCATCCCGAGGTATACTTGCCAGGGAAAGACGCCCAGCAATTGCGCGCATCCACGTTGATGCGGCCGAAGAAGGGTATTTGAGCGCCGCGCAGCACAGCTGGATGCTCTTTCAGTGTTAAGACCAAGTCGACCTGCAACAGGACTGGCTGGTCAAGCTGACATTTGTTTGTGTCATTGAGGGGGCGTGTTCCTCGACGTGCCCAATCCACCACTCAAAGGCCCTGACCAACAACCCCCAGACCCTGAACCCAAACAGAGGCAAGCCAGGCCTCAGGTGCGTTAGCCGGCCCTTCAGGGTCCTCTCAGGAAATGCTGCTCGGCTAGCAAGCGCATTATTAGGCCTTCTGCGCATCTCAGCCCTGCCCAGCTTTAAAACAGATTGAGTTCTGTTGTGTTGCTGAAGCGCGCGTCAGGGCCGGCGAGAAAATGCTGGGATCCCAAGCGTGCTGCCCTAGAGCCAGATACTCTGAGAGGCGGCATGGTCAAACTAGAAATCCGGGTCAGTATATACCTGCCCCGCCTACGACCCTGCGCTGACACATGGGGTCTATGCCAAAAACTGTTAGAAGCTGTGCATGCTGCTGTCGTTTAAGTATGTCAGCAAATGTATGCGGACGTCTTGCCTGCTCCGAAAAAGTTGGCGACGGGACGCCTTTATACCACGCGGCACAAAAACCTGAACTAGAAACCATCCAACCTATGGAGGTGTCTGTGCGTGAGGGTCGATGAACCCATACCGTAGCAAGATGGGCAAACATGTGGTTCAAAAATGTAAAGTTTCTAGCTCTGCTACAATATTTGTTCCACACAAACTGTAGCTTCTTATATGCTTAACTGGGAAGGTGAGCCTGTCCAAAACTGCATGTCGTTCGTCTGTTGCTCCTTGCCAAAATAATGCAAAATCTTCTCATGCAGATCCCTGCGCATGCACACCCTATTTTGAGGCACTATGAGCACTTGTCAAGGCAGTTTGGGGAGAAGAGCAATGGCAAGCTTGCACCGTAGCCTGAAGGGCATCTACTGTCGACATATCAACTTGAGCCGAGAGCTTATCCGTCGCATCTTGCCAAGATATCGCCATGGAACGGGTACTTCAGTCACAAGAGGGCAACGATCTCTCATGACAGCACAGAATCGTGCACCTTCGAACAAATCTGAAAGGCATGCGCCATTAACTCGCTGCGATGCGCAAGGCCTTGTACGGCACCCGTCGACCACTGACATGATTAGAGAACGCCGAAAATGCAATCTGACTCAACAAAAGTCCGTAATCCTGAAGGCAACCGATGCTTCGGACCCAAGTCCTTTGCATCTCCGTTGGAAAATTTTCGTTGCTCCTGGCAAACTGGCTTGCAAAGTCACTGAAACCCACTGTCTGGAACTTTCTGGCTCGAGGGTGGGGCCTCAAACGTTAAGACGCTCCAGCCAATGGGGTCTATGGTTAGGGTTTACAAGAATGCGTCTCAGCAGTCTGCGGACAAGGTGCTTTAAAAGAGTCAGGCTGGAGCAACTCACCCACAAGGGTTTCAGGAGTGACGCCTCAAATTACTCTGCAGTCCTGGTTGAAGCACAGCGCGAGCTATGGAGGATGTGACTGCCAAGAACGCAACTGCGTGCAGGTCCTTCAGAGCTTCTTCATAACTTTCCTTTTGCTCCTTCAATCAAAGCGGGCCCGCAAACCTTACCCAGGCCAAGCTGAAGCACGGGAGAAGTTCACGTGCTTCTGTGACGACATGCTGTGCTTCATGACGCGGCTCCATCAGGCTGCACAGGACAAGCGGAAGTCCTTCAGAGCTTTTTCATAAAGTTCTTGCTGCTCCTATCAGCAAGTTGTACTTCTCGAAGCGCAGAGCTGCAAATGCAATCAACACCCGATGCTGTGCAGGTCACCGCGAAGCACAGCGCTGAGCACCAGCCTTCAGAGCTTTCTCATAATGTGCCCTCTGGTCCTCAAGGCAAAACTGTGTCGCATCTGCTGCACAGCAAAGCTGCACAAAGCAGACCGATTCGTCAAACAATCCCACTTCGCCGTCTTGCTTGCTCACCATGTGCCCTTCAGACGCTGCTCCACAGGCTGCTACAGAGTCCCCACACAACAGATTCTTCAACAAAGGCTGTACGCCCGTCGGATTGCAAGATGCCCATACCTACCTCAAAGTGTTATATATATATATATGGTGTCCTCCAAGGCTTTCTTCAATGTTTGCTCATGAGCTTCCTTCGCCTCCTGCATGATCAATTGTTGGAAGGTTGTGCTTTGGGAGCTCTTTGGGAGCTGCATTCAAAGATCATGACTCCGTCGCGGACATAGGTTTAGGTTCATCATCCAAAGGTGCCCCGGCTAAGGCTCTTGGGGCTGGCTATGCGAAGCTGAAACATGTTCGAGAATCCATACGTGAAGCCTTGCAGGGACTTGTGTGGGTTTGTCGAAGGCTGCAGTACTTGGATACCATGTAGCATGGCCCTGCGGAAGGCGACATCCGGAAGGCCCCCCGCCTCAACTTGAGACCTTGGCCCACACTGCTAGCCTGGACATACAAACCTCTGGATTGCTGCATGCCTGTCGGTAATTACGCCTGTCAGGAAGGGTCACGATTTTTATTTGAACTTCAGATTGATGTTATGTAAGCACACGGATTCTGCCTGGAGGTCGTTTGCGCCGCGTCCTGGCAGGAAATCGTATAGTTAATCAACATTCTTAGCCTTAGCCAAACTAGGAAACGTGACATGAGCACATGTCTGCTATGGCTAAGATGCTTCTGGAAACCAACTAAGCTACAGCAACTTTCGATGCAAGACCTTCCAAGAATGAAAAATAGAAACGCTTTGTCGGATTCAAGGTCTGCTTTAGAAATCTACTTTGAGGTTTTGGGACTTGGGACGTCAGGATCGAAGTAAGCTTCCCGCGGGCTTAGGTGAGATTTCGATATTTCGAACAATACCAAACTGCAGAGAAACCCGAAATGCAAGCAACCCAGCCAGAATACAGGCCGGGTCCAACATGGTAGTCGAAACCTGCGTACCTCTATCTGCCGACGACCCCTTGAAGGCAAAACTGATCAACCAGCACCTGAATGAAGCTCCACCTCCGGTCTACATAGGGGTGAACCTGGACGGCTCTGATGGTTGAGGGTTGAAATGATGAGATCAAGAGTCCCTTTCCTCATTTTGCCGGACATATCCTCAGTAGCTTGGTACATAGAAGAGGAGCACCTTGGCGGTGCGTCTTGTGATGTCTTGTTCATGGCCTCCGCCACACTAAAGCTTGAAACCTGAGATCTAAACGTCCGGAAACCCCAAACTCTAAAACCCTAAACCTTGAACCCAAGAACACGTGCCTCGGCCAGCTGCCGAGTACTGCTGGCTCGCACCGGATATCATGGGCGTCTAAGAGTAATGAACAGAGAACCTAAACCAGACTGGGAGTTAGGGTTTTGGGGTTTATGGTTTAGGGTTTTTGCGATTACGGGTTTAGGGCTTTGGGCAGCTATGGGAAGGGCCACACGTAGACTTTTCAATTATATAAATAGGCAACATGCCAGCATGACACCTACGTACTGCTGTAATGTGGCCATCGTCGCGCCGGCATGTGCCGGGCGGAGCTTACTTTCTTCAACAACGAGCATGTTAAGATGTGGATTGCTGCGGCTCAAGTTCAACTTAGCGACTGACCTGAAAGATGCCAGCCCCTTAAGCAGAAGAACAAAGCCCCCACCCTCCATCGGGGGGGCGAGGGGGTGAAGGGGTGATTCGAGGCCTCCAAACAAAACCCTCCATCAACCTCTAGAGACCTTGTATCCACATGCATCAAGCTTGAGAATTGAATAGAATACGATGCCTCCTGGTCAATATTGTTTGAGAAACCGTGACATTTTCAAGTTCCTGGTCATGTACTTAATTCCCTTATGGGCACAGTACTCTCAGAAATCTTGTCATACATCACACAAAAACTTGGCGTTGCTTAGTCGCAACAAAGTGTCACAAGCAGAGCCCTTCCCGAATTGTTGCAGTTCTTGCGGAAAAATTCAAAGTCGGGAACGTCTCAGCGATCGTTCAACCCATTTTTTATCAAACTAGCACAGAGCCGCATGTGAACACCGACTTTTCTTGCAGTCTTCCCCTCCTGAGCCGATGACAAGCTTAACATTCACACTCGAGGCACACGCAATAACCGAAAGTGAGCGTGTGAAAGAAGCACCTCAAGACACCAGTAGTGTTTTCGCACTTTGAAAGCCGATTGAGGGCAACGATGCTGCTGGCTGGTATTGTAACTGTCGTGTAGTGTTTGCATGCACCTTTTGGAGCCGTTGGTGGCGTTCACTTGTTGCTGGGCCAGCGGGAAAAAATCTCTGGGGCTCCGGTGGTGCTGCGTTGGCTTGCCAAGCTGGGATGGACGTACATGATCGATCAAGAGCTTGGATGTGATGGGTTCCGTAGCCAGCGTTGTCGAGTGTGTGGCGTGTGGCTTCCGGAGTGCGTCTGTCTACAGATTGTCTGTTGCCTCGGCGAATTGCAATTCTGTGGATGGTCGGCCGGGGTTGTGGGAATTCTTGAGTGTTGAACCCATGTTGGATCGTGATGCCGGACACGGTGTTGTGTTTGGCGAACAGCGGCTTGTGAAGCGGTAAGGTGTCGGAGCGGAAGACGCCAAGTTCTGGTCCTTGAGAAACATGGGGAGTGCTGGGGAAGATCTTGTCTTGCCATATTCTGCACGTTGCAGCGCACAGAGATATTCAAGGGGTAGCACCCTCTGCACGGAGACTGCGGAAGTTGATGTATCTCCAGTGCCAAAGTGGGTAAATGGCAGGGGTAGCCATGCGTGTTGCGGGGACTCCTTTGCGAATGACCATGCGACATTGCATAATGGAGAGGGAGCTGAGGATGTTGTCACCCGCCTGGGATCGCAGGATGCGGCAAAAACAGATCTCATTTTCGCCGGTGTCGCCTGCGTTTTCCCCGAGCAGGTTGGTTGTTGAAAGAATGTGGTACGCGAAATTGCTACTGGTTCAGAGTGCAAAACGACCGTTTCTCACCTTGGGATCTTGAACCGAACTTCGTTCCAACATGTCTGTGATATGCTGTCTCCACTCCTACTGTTTCCTACTGTCTCGGACTTCCTAGTACAGTGACTTCTTGTAGCAAAGTCGAAGGGTTTGCTTCCGTCTTATACCCAGTTCCTGTTGCTTGCTTCTTGCAACTTCTCCGTGTTTGGAGGTGGGATGTAATACGGCCAATGACCTCCGCACATTTCATTATCATCACATCAGGCCAGGCAACAGCACATTGCTGGCTATCAGCGTGAAAGAAGTCAAACCAACTCTGACAGCCTCGTTTTTGCACACGGCTCAGACAGTGATCACACCAGAGCCTACACCACATCGCGGGCAGGGGGCCCCACAGGGGTGGGCTGGCCGTGTGAACAGCAGAGACACCCTTGCACATATGGTTCAAGCTCTGTCTGCACAAGGGTGAGGCTGTCAACGCAGCAAACGGCTCGGCCCTCAGAGGAACCGCAGGGCAGCGCTAGCATAAGACAAACACAGCCGCTGCGGCAGATGGGCCAGCTGTTGCACGAGCGCCTGTCCACTGCAGAGGTACAATAGGGGAGTGTCCTCCAACTCCATAGTGAGGGTACAAGCATGGGACGGCCCAAAACATGGCTTCGAAGCCATCCACGCGAATCCTCGTGTGTTCAAGACCAACCACCAAGGTGACTGAGGAGCAGGCCGGGGTGAGGGATGGACAACCTGAAGCAAATGGGGATGGGCAAGAGGAAGATGGGCACAACAAATGACAGCGGTCCAAAAAGTCCCCCGAGCAACCCGGGTCTCAGGCACCGAAGACTCCTACAAGCTCCTGCAAGTATAAGGCGGCAGGCTGAAAGCATGGTGAGATTTCCAGGCGCCTGCTTGCTTGTGCATCGTGGCAAAGACTGCCAGACTAGCAAGACTTATCTTCGCCCCCGCACAGCTCGCGCAGTTGGCCCGTGGTACCACAAATCGTGCAGCTGATAGCATTATGCATCGTTACTTGACCCTCAAGATGCGCGAATCAACCAAGGGAGACCTTGCTGAAAGAGGTGCTTGGGTTCGCAGAGTCTGGAATCACTGTCCTGAGTCTGTTCTCGGCCCCTGACCATTGCTGGCAACGTGTGCCGTCCGGGCTCTGTGGGTTGCAGTAGGGCCCGCCTGGCCTTGCCACTGCAAAGCCGCGAGCGACATGTCTGTCGGCCGCCTCCAGAACTGTGTGCCACCCTCACACGACCCAAGAAAAGCGCACGCCTAGGCCGACGGATTTGTTGAGGCCAGGGGCAAGGCATCACGAGTAGATGTAAACGCGTCGAAGCCGTGTGGTTGCGGGACTTTCCTTGACAACCCACAGTGGTGCTACGGTCTCCACTGCGGCGGTGCACGACCTGCCAGCTGGGCACCGGCACTTTCACAAATTCTGAAACAGGCAACAAGACGCCGTTGCTTTCTTGCTCAGCCTCAAGGGCAAACGAGACATTCGAAAGGGATAGCACATCCACGCCCGCCGGCCATCGACAGCAGGGCAGACCCGGAGCGGCCTCACTTCAAGAGGCCTGCCGCGTTGGCAACATCTATAGCAACCACGCCTGTCTTGGACAGGGCTGAAGGAAACGTGACCCGGCATACAATCATGGATCGAAGGCATCCAACGCGCGTCTGGCCATCAAGGTTGTGAATGTCGCCTGAGCCTTTGGCAGCAAACACCGGTGCACCCCGCGGAGACGCGCAACTCGCTGGGGCTTCTTCTTCTTCTGAAGACATGGCTGGCACCTCCGGATGGAGCGGACAACACCTGCAGGTGTGTGTCGGCTTAGGCACCACAGGGAAGCCCAAGAAGCGCGACCTCCCGAGCGTGGGCGCGGGCGTGCGCGTGGGCGTGGGCGATCGCCAAGCCCCGCACAAACTGCTGACGTCTCCTTGGCCCTTTGCCTCGGAAGTACGTATTCCACGTATTCACGGAGGGTTTGGGGCACTTGATGCGCTTGGCAGGCAAGCAAACTTCTGTCACGCGCACCGAGCTTGCACGGAAAAAAGAAGAAAACCCGGTTGCCTGCAGGCCAAGCACTGCTTGCAGACTTCGCTCCAAGCCGGTTGCCCTCAAACGCCTCAGCACGCTCTTCAGCACGGCCTTGAACAACGCAAGGAGGAGCAACCGCAGCATGCGGCTACAAAGCCGTCACCCTGGCCGGGCAAAGAGCCGGCGCAACCGTGGGCCCCTTAAACGGCCCCTTCTTGCACTGAATCCGACAAGCCCATCTCTTGGAACATGCCCGCTTCCAGGGCGGAAACGCAGGGCAGTCTTCAGGGACTCCACGGCCTGAGGCCTCCTTGACCCGCGCCCCCCCGCCTTCTCCAACAAGGCCGCCACCTTCCCAAAGCTGCAGCCTGGGAGTCCTCTCCGGCTACTGAAGTACCTAAAGTGCCTCTTCTGGCGTCTTCGCGTCCGACCTGGCCTCTGCAAACCAAGGCAGCGCCGAGGAGAGTGCCATGTCTTCCGAGCGATGCGAGAGTCTGGAAGGCTTCTGGCGCACAGCCCACTGCGGTGGCACTTGGGCGATTCACGGTGCGTTACACTTGCTGGGCACCATGCCGAAGCAGTGCTACAGCAGAGAACAAGCGGGAAGCGGTCACACGGGATTTGCGCTCTAAAGCCGGTTGCAAGAAGGGATCCTCCCCACTCGCCCCTTGCCTCGAACCAAGCGACAGCTGTGGGCCTTCCTTTGCAGCAGTGCAGGGCGTCTCCCAGCGCAGGACAGTATCCGTATCACCGATCGCAGCCCGGACCACTCAGGTTTGCGGGACAGAGAGTGTCAGTGACAATGGACTCAAGCTCCCGTAGGGAATCGTAAAGGCCAAAAAGGCCTCCAAGGATCTCATCATCTGCCTCAGGAGGGGCTGGGGTTACAGCTGCCACGCGGGTAAACTCCGTGCTCCGTCGCTCTATCCGCGAACCTCCCCCGGCATGACTGATGCATGAGGTTCGTGTCGCGAGCCACATCTCCTTTCATGCTGGCAGGGCTCTGTCTTTGAAGATCCCCAGCGTGCTAGGACTACGGGGGATGGAAAATGGAGCTGCCAATGCCTGACGTCCCTGAGAGCTGTCTGGGCTACGAGGCTCCGCAACTCCGGAGTCTCACATGGTTGAATAATTTCAGGATACACAGGCGAGAAAGAAAAATGGATTTTCATGCATCCAGGGACCTGCCAGCCAGTTGACTTGAACCTCAAGGCCAAAGGGCCAGACGGGCCCCAAAAATGGAGACGGATATTGGCACATCAGGACCCGAGACCCTGCCTCCCTCCATTTACAAAATGTGATCTTTGAAGCACGGCACGAAGGGATGAAGCGCATCCGCCAGCTTGATGCTCAGCAGGTCGTCAGACCTTCAAGCCAAGCAAACCCCAGTCAAGATCTCCCTGACAAGCTCGCTACGCGAAGTGAGTTTGCAAGTGACGTGCTCTTGCCATGGCGGGCAAAGTGCAGCAAAATGCTGCTCTCTTCTCTAGCAACTCAACAAACGGAACATGGACTCGCCACCAGCGTGGGACGCGGGGACAAGGCGACGGTCCGGCCCATCATTCAGGGAGCAAACGGAACTCGCATCCTCCGACCCACTGGAGGAAAGCGCTAGTGCGTTTGCGGCTTCATGCAGGCACGCAGATGTGCTCCAGCGGACTAGAGCCTGATTCGACCGGAATGCAATCCTTTCTGCATTGTGGGTCCCGTCATGATTCGGTGCGAATTAGTGGCCCATCCGCACGAACTGCGAACCCTGCTTATGTCGCGGGCAGAAACTATGGGGATTTCAGGCAGCTTCATGGCACGGCAAACCCTTTCTACCCTCCGTTCTGCGTAAGTTAAGCAGCGCAGCAAGTACATGCAAACCGTTCCCTGCGAGAGTGCGGAAAAGTCACGGACTTAAGATAACATCGGTGTCCACAGCCGAGTGTTGCAGCCCCTGAATAGTAGGCTCACAAGAGCTGAGGTCACTCACGAGCGCCCTCGGCAGTGAGTTCGCGATGACTTCGCTTATTTTGGGGTGAGCTCGCGTGAGCTCGTTACGATTCTGGCAGCTGAATGCAGAAGCTGAAGCGACCGGCGCTGAAGGGTACTGCAGGGTAGGTACCGGCACGTTGGGGGCACCTTTAGCCTTCTTCTAACAACTCGATGAGATCTCCCTTTCTGCGCGAAGGGAGCAATGTGGCAGTAGGCAGAGGTTGCGAACATGTTCTGCCAAGGCAACCTCAAGCTTGCGAAGGCCTGCTGATATCCATCGACTGTAGACGAATGCCCAAGCGAAGCTGATCATTGTGCGAACGGCGACTTTGTCCGCTCTCTCGGTGTCAAGGAGGCGGCCTCCCAAACCCTAAACCCTCAACCCTGAACCCTAAACCCTAAGCCCTAAACCCTAGCAGCTGCTTGTCAATTGGAGTAAAAACTCTCGCGGCCATCACCGGTCTCAGGTCAAGACCCAAGAGCCAAAACAAAGACCTTCTTGGACGAACCAACAAAACCCTATAAAACCTTATTAAAACCCTACAGCAGCCTACCAAAACCCTATACAAACCCTATAAACACCAAGTTAAGTTAAGTGACCGAGGTTACGGGACCGCATACTTTTGGCAGAAGCACAACCTCAGGGCAGGCCGGACGAGCGAGTGACAGCCGATCCCCAGGCCCCCCTTCAAAAGTCTCCTGGAGCTCACAACTAGTCACACGTCTCGTGGCGCGGTGTAGGGCTTGAGGATGCAGCGCAAGACCCACTTCCGCTGCCAGGGGCGCGCGCCTTCGAATGCTCGAAGTGGCCGCCTGTGTTGACCGCATCCGTCTCGCCGGAAGGCGTGTGGCTTGAGAGAACCGAGAAAATCGACGAGAGACCGAAGCGGTCTCTGCAAAAGGGCCAGCTGATAGCTTGGAATGCACGGCAGGGCACAATCCTTTTGGGAAAGCCAGCTGCCTCTCAAAGCTGCACCTGACTTTGAGATTCGGGGCCAAGCAACCACATAAACATAAGGATCCTACAAACAGGGTTTTCTTGGAATCCCCCTTATAGGGGCCCGCATGCCCCAATAGCCGGATCCTTATGTTTATGTGGTTTTTTGGGCCCTTGTTTGTTGGTCCCCGAAGACAAGAGCTCCTCATGCAACGCTTTCGGCCTCGACCCGGGTGCTGCTCAAAGGGCGCCGCCAGTGCCTTTATCCTCTTTATTGCAATGCCTTGACAGCGCCTTAGGATATTCGGTGTAGTGACACAAGGCTGCGTACGTAGGATGGAAAAACAAATGGCGTGTGGCTTTATGCGTCTGCTATCGTCCACTCAGATTGAGCGCTTCTACCCCGTCCAGGTGTACAGTCACCCCGACCGCAAGGGGAGCAGTCACATACCGGCATCGGCACCACAAGGTACCCGAGCGTTGATCATGCTCTCCGGGGTAGCGGCCACTGTGCCACAAGGGGCGACCACGTCAGAACCCGTCTTTTCGCCATGACAGTGCCCTAGGATATTCGGCGTAATGACACAAGGCTGCATATGTAGGATGGAAAAACAAATGGCGTGTGGCTTTATGCGTCTGCTATCGTCCACTCAGATCGAGCGCTTCTATAAGCAGCACATTTGTGTCACGCCGCCCAGGAATACAGTCACCCCGACGCCAAAGGCGCGGTGCCAAGGGGAGCAGTCACATGCCGGCATCAGCACCACAAGATACCCGAGCGTTGATCATGCTCTCCGATGTAGTGGGCTCTGTGCCACAAGGGGCGACCACGTCAGAACCAGTCTTTTCGCCCGTGGCCATGCCCAGTAACGCCCGCCAAGGTTCCTCACCCTGTTGTCAGACGTAGCCTCGCAAAAACTCAAGGACCGGCCACATGCAGAAGAAACTGCTGGGCTGCTGCTCTGCTGCTGCTCTAAGCCTCAGCGTCGCCTTTCTGTGCTTGAAAGTGGTCTCATTGGCCTCGCTTGCCGTGAAGCTGCAGCAAGCAGTTTGGCGAGCACCCTTGTGCCGGCAAGACCACATGCATTCCCACTGCACCGGAACAAAACGAGCTGCCGCTCAGGGACTGGCCATGCAGCCGCCCACGTCAATCCGCGCACGATCTGGCATGGATTCTGTTCACAAGATTCTTGTGGCATCTACATGCCGTGATGCTACCAAACTCCTTGGTGGCATCGGTGCTGACCTTAGCACTGCTCGCTGGCGAGCGGAGCATGTGTCATTGCGAAGGATTGTGGAACTCAACCGGTGTCCCAGCTCCAGCAGCACCCCATGACTGAAGTGCATCCGGGGACGGACTCACCTCAGGGCACAGCGGGCTCCAGCGAGAGGCCCGATCGGCATGCTGGCAGTTGCTTGCTTGGAAATGCTCTGCCACGAGAGCATCGTAACACGCGGTGCGTCAGGCGATGCAGCATGCAGGTGTACTGACCTTTCAGCAAGAAAACATGGCTCAAGGACTCTGGGGCAAACTCAAGTCCGCAGAGACCACTACGGGCACCGTAGGTAATCCTTGGCCCCCATAAGGGCCCCTCCAAGGACCTCACGATCTGCCTCTGGAGGGGCTTGTAGTCCAGCTGCCACGCAGGCGAGCTCTGTGCTCCCTCGCTCTATCTGCAGACCTTCCCTGCATGACTGATGCACAACCGGGGCCGCATCAGAATAACGAGGCACATCTCCTTGCATTCTGGCAGGGCTCCGTCTTTGAAGCACAGCACGAAAGGATTGAGCGAGTCCGCTGGTTTGATGCTAACCAAAACGTCAGAAGATCAAGCCAAGCAAACCCCGGTCAAGAGTACCAGGGCACCGCACGGTCTCCCTGCTGCGAGAACTCATGGAGCGAATGTGTGCCCGATTGAGAGGCCAAAACTGACAAGCTCGCTACGCCAAGTGAGTTTGGAAGTGACATGCTCTTGACATCGCGGGCAAAGTGCAGCAGCTCAGCATATGCCATATGCAGCCGGCGAATGCTTTCTTCGCTGGCAAATCAACACACTGAACATGGACTCGCCACCTGCGTAATACGCAGGGGCAAGGCCGGTCAGGCCCAAAATTCAGGGAGCACACAAAACTCGTATCCTCCCACCAACTGGAGGAAAGCACTACTGCATTCTTGACTTCATGCAGGCACGCAGATGTGCTCCAGTAAGGGCCCAACAGGCATGCTGGCAGTTGCTTGCTTGGACATGCTCTGCCATGAAAGCATGGTAGCACGCGGTGCATCAGGCGATGCAGCATGCAGGTGTACTGACCTTTCAGAAACAACATGGCTCAAGGACTCTGAAGCAAACTCAAGTCTGCACAGGCCACTCAAGCCCACGGCACTGTCGGTAATATCTGCCAAGGGTCCCCCATAAGTGCCCCTCCAAGGATCTCACGATCTGCCTCTGTCAACCCTGATGGGTCAGGTGCTCCTAGTAAACACTGTGCACCGTCGCGGCCTTATCCGCGACCCTCCCCACTGAATGAGTGGTGCACAACCGAAGCCCCATCGGGATAACCAGGACCCAGAGAAGTAGAACGGCCCTCTGCCTGGGCCCGCCAGAATCCGACCCAAGATTTTTGGCAAGAAAGAAGAAAGGGTACTTGGACCAGTTTCAGGCTGACCTTCAGAGGAGGTTTCGAGTGTTTTCCTGGTCGTAGGGAACTGGCAGCGAACACCGGCTGGACTCGGGCGTCCAAAAACAAGAAGACAGCCAACAGCTACCTGCGGTTATCTTGCAAAATCACGATTGTGCGGCATGGCTACGTTGTTATCTAAAAACCCTTTGACCGGCTAGGGTTAAAGAAGTGTCTTGGATGGAGCACGGAAGACGAGGATCGTACATTCAGCCACCAAATTCCGACCGTCGGGGGTGGTACTGTAAAGGAAAGACTCGGAGTGGAGCAAAGCACGCAGGCCCCAGAAAAACTTAAACTGCTCGCCCTCGCGCAACCGCTGGAACAGGGCAATAGATCCCATTCTGCACAAAGCAAGCACTGTCGCTCAAGCACAAGCTACTTGGGCCACCCCCTTCGCTGCTTCTTCGTGCGTCAAGGATTCTACGCAAGCAGCATGCACTAGGCGGGCGCGCGTGTGTGCTGCGGTAGGCGCCCGACCGACATGGATGCCTTCCATCTGGAAGTTCGTCTTACCTTATGCACGTATGGACGAAAGTTTGCAACGTCCGGCAGGCGCGCATCCGAGCCCGAGCCCTTTCTGCAAACGCTCTGCTGGGTCCAAGTTCATCAAGCCACATGCACGCGACGGCTACATTCGCTCCCTTCCCTTCAGAGAGAAGGCAGCTCATGGTAGGAACCCTTTGACGTTCAAGGCACCCCTGCAATGTTGCCAAAAATCCTGGGCACCGACAACGTTGTGACCTCTGCAACCTGGGCCGACCTGTGTAGCAAGAGAGAACGATGGGTACTGGCTGACCTTCAGAGGAGGTTTCGGGCGTTTTCCTGGTTGCACCGACTGGATTCGGGCGTCCCAAAACAAGGGGACAGCCAACAGCTACCCGCGCTTATCTTACAAAATCGCGAGTGTGCGGCATTCTTGAGGATTGTAGCAAAACGGAAGGTGCGCCAAACTGTGTGGGCCCCAGATTGCTAACGGGATGAGTTACGTGAAGGGTCCTTGAACAGCGCGAAGCTGCGTGAATCAACACGGGGTTATGCGAAGGGATGGGAGTTTCACGAACCGCTTGCGATGGTGGGAGGGGTTCCATGAACACAAGTGAATCTCAGACAGCTGTCCTGGAAAACCGGTGACCCCTTGGTCACGCGGGTTGCGCAAAGGCCCGCCCGGTACCGCGAAGTGGTAATGCCACGGGCAAGATGGGAGGGCTTGCACGACCTGCGAAAGTCAGACCGCTGCTCTAGAGAATGGGGTGACGCTCTACTTTTGTCCCTGAATGGGGAAGACTCGGAGTGGAGCAAAACGTGCAGGCCCAAAAAGACTTAAACTGCTCGTGCACCACTGGTGCAGGGGCATACGATCCCATTCTGCACAAAGCAAGCACTGTCGCTCAAGCACAAACTACTTGGCCGCTCCCTTCACTGCTTGTTGGTGCGTCAAGAATTATGTGCAGTAGCTCGCACGTAGCTTCTGTCTAGGAGTTCGTCTTTCCGCGGACTCATGGATGCGAGTTTGCAACGTCCGGCACGCGCGCATCCGAGCCCGAGCCCTTTCTGCAAATGCTCTGCTGGGTCCAAGTTCATCAAGCCACATGCACTCGACGGCTACATTCGCTCCCTTCCCTTCAGAGTGAAGGCAGCTCATGGTAGGAACCCTTTGACGTTCAAGGCACCCCTGCAATGTTGCCAAAAATCCTGGGCACCGGTAAGGTGTGACTTCTGTGCTCAGGGCCTCAGGGCTCAGTGTTCAGGTGGACACCGGCCGATGCCCAGGACAGGCCCGGTTCACATCCCGATTTGCCGCAGGCGCGTAGTCTGCAAGATGTCTTCAAAGGCAGCATCCAAGAGCATTGCCAGGACACCAAGGACTACAGCCTTCCGGTGGCGTTGGCATCGCCGCAGCTGTGCAGAACCTCCGCTGGACAACCTAGAGCTCAAGCCTCGCTCACCATCTGCTTAGGGTTTAGGGTGTAGGGTTTCAGGGTTTAGGGTTTGGGGTTGCAGTGTTGCAGTCGACAGAGCCCCTGCGAGACTGGCTTGGGGGGCTGACAGAGCCAATAACCGGACCGAGATTAGAAGAACGGCCCGATTGTCAAATGGGAGCCCATAGATGATGTCACTGAAACCAAACATGCAACTTCGCGGTGATGTCTGCACTTCCATGTGAACTCTGCATGCAGCCCCATGAACCAGACTAGGCATTACCTGAGAAGCAAGGTCGGACTTTGGCCACCGGTAGCTTAAGTCAGAGGGCGCCCCCTCAAATCCCACAAGTCCCAAGCGAAACCCCCAACGCGCCCTGCAAAGGTGAAAAACCTGCGGCTTGAGAACTTATTGTGGATTAAAAGCCCGGCTTTCAGGCTTCAGCCGACGGTTCAAGGATTTCAAAGAAGCAAAAGCTTAAAACTGCTCGTGCACCGCTGGCAAGGGGGGCATGCGATCCCATTCTGCACAAAGCAAGTACTGTCGCTCAAGCACAAGCTACTCAGGCCACCCCGCGATCTGTGCTTCTTGGTTTGATGGCTTTTGGTGTGGGATTGTATGCAAGTATGACACGCACTGGGCGCTCATGTGCGTTGCCATCGGTGCCCAACCGACACACAGCGATGCCTTCCATCTGGAAGTTCGTCTTTCCACGGACTCATGGTGTCATGGACGAAAGTTTGCAACGTCCGGCAGGCGTGCATCCGAGACATTTCTGCAAACTCTCTGCTACGTCCAAAATCATCGAGCGACATGTGACAGCTACATTCCATTCCTTCCGAATGAAAGCGCCTGAACCACAACCCATTCTAAGGTACTAAACGGGACTTCACGTTGAAGGGGGGACTGTTAGGACCTCCTTACAGGAACCCTTTGACGCTCAAGGGAGCCCTGGCCTAGGCACCGGCGAAGTTGTGGCTTCTGTGCCCAGGGCCTCAGGGCAATGGAAAGTCCTCCGATGGAGTTCCAGAACAGGGCCGGTCGTCATCCCCGTTCTCCATGGCAGCTTGCCGTAGGCGCTTCACAGGTGACAGCTCCTCCCGTGCAGCACACGAAAGGCTGAGTAGGCTGCAAGATGTCTTCGCAAGCAGCACCCAGGCACATTGACGGTGGCCATGCTGCACCGTACGAGCTTCCTTCTTGGTTTAGGATCGGGCAGCAGCTCAATATGTGAGAGAATCCCAGGCAGCAACCTCAACGGAACGCCTTCCGGGCCCAACAAAACTTCGTCCACCTGCATGTCGTACGCAGGATATGGGTCCAACCGGCGCAAGCAAAAGCCCGATCTTAACCGCGGCCCAGCAAGGTGCTTGCGGATCTGTGGCCTGCGCGCTGTCTCCTGGATGCAATCAGACGTTCCACTGTAGGGGAGGTTCCGCTGTAAGCAAGGCATGTTGCGCCAGTGCTACCCTCTCCGGCCAGCCTGCCTAGGGGGGGTCCCTAGACGAGCCTCCGAATAAATGGATGAATCGGGCAACTCGGACCACCTTTCGGGGGGCCTCGTAGTAGATGGGTGAATCGGGCAGCTCAGACCACCCCCCCAGAAGCACCCCCTGTCAGACCCCCCTCCAAGGCTAAAAATGCCTTTAAACACGTCATCTTCTTGTTTTCTACCTTTTACTACTGTTGTTGTCTTTATTTTTTCGTTTACACCTCTCTGTCCCGATCCGGTTCTTGGCATGGCAGGCGGACGAAACGACACGCCCTATGCTGGCAAGAAGAGCAAGGCGCATCGGCACCACTCCTTGAAATTGCAACCAGCGTGCGTTTCTGGATGACCGCGCTAAGCTCAGGCATTTGGCATCGACACATTGAGAAAAGCTCCGGTAACTTGGGAGGTGACGGTGTCCGTGCACGCTGGGGTCAACACCCTCAAGGCCTACACCGGCCGCACGGCGCGGGGTTGCCTTAGTGACGTACAGGCCCAGGCCCGAGGGGCGGTTCGACGTCAGACAGACACGAGCCCAGGGGCTCCGTCACAAAGGCTCAGTTGCTCAGGGACTTCGGGGGGGCCTTGGCCTTCAAAACCGCTTACGTGGGAAGCTGCGGCGCCACCCCTGCCCGAAGCCCGATGCGCTGGAGGAGCACGTTGCCAGCCAAGCCGAAGTGCTGGTTGAAGCTCCGTGTGATCATGGCCATGGCGCTACGGCCAAACTCCGATATCTAACTGTTATTATTACAATTATTATTATTATTATTCTTATTATGATTATTTGCATAAGGCTTTCGAAACGAGTAACATCTGCTCTGAAAGTCTGTATCTGCTCTGAAGTACTCTGAAGTCTGTCACACTGATTTGACAAACCTGCCGTGTCTCTACCTAATAACGATGGTCACAAGACTCGCACAGCCAAGAAGCCAACATTGCCCCGCAATTACGCTGTCCGTAACAAACCGTGCCGCACTGTACAGTTTGGCATCTTGACCCGCACAAACCCCTAATTGTCCCTAACACCACGGTGCCACTGTTTGTGAAGTTGGGCAAGAGCTGTCCGTTGACATGGCATACAGCCACAACTTCTTTTTTCGAGGAGCCCATGCCGAAAAGCGCCTGCAAGCAGCGCGTCAACGGAGCCTGATCTATTCTCTGTCTGCAGGGGCCGCAACACGCCCAGGGCTGATGCTTCTTGCTTATTGTGGGAGGGTTTAAACGTTGTAGACAAAAACCAATGACGGTCTCTCTTGCGACTTAACGAACGGTGCTTTATGCTGTGGATTGCGCTCTAAGAACCTGCCAAAAACCTACCCGGCCTGGATTTGGGGGGCCTGTGGAGATTGTAGGGACACTGTGAGTTGAGGGTTTAGGGTTTCGGATTTAGGGTTTTGGGTTTAGGGTTCAGGGTTTAGGGTTTAGGGATGTGGGTTGAGGGTTCTTCCTCGGGGTCGTCGGGCTGACTTCGCGAGATTTGCTACGACCTGCGGGCTCCATCGAAACGTCTTCTTCTCGAGAAACCTTCTTGGAGAACCTCCGAGGACCTCTGGGGAATTCTTCAAGATGCGAAGGCAAACTTGGTATGACAAAATCGAGGGGTCGGAAACGCGCCGAGGCGATTGACATGCAGCATCGGCAAGTAAAAAACAGACGGCGACGGGAAACATCACAAAGCTGCATGCTGTTCAAACACAGTGACCTCCCCACATTTGGACGTGACAAAAACAAAATGACCTCCAAGTGCATGACATTGCCACAGCAGCCAAGACACCGGCACAATGCTGGCTACGAACCAACTGCAGGAGCCCTCTTTTTGCCCACTGCTCAGACAGTGATCACACCGGAGCCTACAAACACATTGCGGGCACGAAGCCTTGGGATCCAGGCTAGCTGCGTGTGCAGCAAAGACACCCTTGCACATAATTGAGTACTCCGCGTCTGCACGAGGGCGAGAGGCTGTCAACGCAGCAAGCGGCTCGGCCCTCAGAGGAACCGTGTGGCAGCGCAAGCATAAGACAAGCACGGCCGCTGCGGCAGACGAGCCAGCCGTTGCACGAGCGCCTGCCCACAGCAGAGGTACAATGAAGAAGGAGTGTCTTCCAACTCCATAGTCAGGGTACAAGCATGGGACGGGCCAAAACCTGGCACGGCTCTACAGGTCACGAATCCCTCACACAGTGGGCTGAAAACGGGACCCGTGTGGACCCGCAATGCCTAGAAACCATCCATGCGAATCTCGATGTGTTCAGAACCAACCACCAGGGTGACTGAGGCGCAGTCTGGGGCGAGCGATGGACAACCTCAAGCAGATGTGGATGGGCAAGAGGAAGATGGGCACAAAAAAATGACGGTGGTCCAACAAGTCTCCCCACGCAACTCAGATTTAAGGCACCGAAAACTCACGCAAGCTCCCGCAGGTATATGGCGGCTTGCTGAAAGCAAGGCGAGATTTCCAGGCGCTTGCTTGTTCGTGCATCGTGGCAAGGACTGCCAGACTAGAAAGCCCTATCTTCGCCCCCGTGCAGTCGGCCCGTGGTCTCACAAACCGCGCAGCTGGCGGCATTCTGCATCGTCACCTGACCCTCACAATGCACGAATCAACCAAGGGAGACTCTGCTTGGGTTCGCAGAGGCTGGAATCACTGTCCTGCGTCAGTTCTGGCCGCTGACCATTGCAGGCAACCTGCGCCGTCCGGGCCCTGTGATTTGCAGTAGGGCCCGCTTGGCCATGCCTCTGCAAAGCCCCGAGCGACATGTCTCCCGGCCACCTCTAGAACTGCGCGCCGCCCTCACAGGACTCAAGAAAAGCGCATGCCTAGGCCGACGGATATGTTGAGGCCAAGGGCAAGGCAGCACGTGTAGACGCATAAAAGGCGTGCGGTTGCGTGGCTTTCCTTGACGACCCACACTGGTCCAACGGGCTCCACTGCAGTGAGGCACGACTAGCGAGTTAGGCACGGGCGCCTTTGCAAATCTTGCAACAAGCAACAAGAAGCCATTGCTTATTTGCTCAGCCTCAGGGGCACGTGAGACGCAGACGGCACAGCCGGGAGCTCTGCAGCCGAAAGGGGCAGCACCTCCACACTCGCCTGCCATCGACAGCAGGGCAGACCCGGAGCAGCCTCACTTCACGCGGCCTGCCGCGCTAACCACACCTGACTTACGCAAATCTGAAGGCGACGTGACCCGGTATACAGTCATGGATCGAAGGCATCCAACGGGCATCTGGCCATCAAGGTTGCGAATGTCGCCTGAGCCTTTGCAGCAAAGATTGGTGCACACCGCGGAGCCACGCAGCTCGTTGGGGCTTCTTCTTCTTCTGAAGACATGGCTGGCACATCCGGATCGAGCGGACAAAGCCTGCAGGGGTGCGCCGGCTTAGGGCATCACAGGGAAGCCCAAGAAGCGCGAGCTCCCGAGCGCGGGCGTGGGCGATCGCCAAGCCCCGCGCAAACTGCTGACGTTTCTTTCGTCCTTTGCCTCGGAAGTACAGCCGTGGCCTCAGCCCCCACGTCTTCACGAAAGGTGCGGGGCGCTTGGCAGGCAAGACAACCAGCTTGCACAGAAAAGAGAAGACCCTGTTGCCTGCAAGACAAGGCACTGCTTGCAGGCTTCGCTCCCTCCCGATTGCCCTAAAACCCCTCCGCACGCACGCCCTGGAACGGTACGAGGAGCCACCTGGCCCTGCGTAGCACGCGACTACAGAGCTGTCACCCTTGCCGAGACAAGAGCCGGCGCAACCATGGGCCCCTTGAAGGCCCCCTTCTTGCGTGGAATCCGAGGAGGCCATCCCTGGGAACGTCAGAACGCCAGCGTCCAGGGCTGAAACGCAGCGCAGTCGAGGGCGCCAGGTGTTCAACGGAGCTCTTCAGCACCTGCGCCTCAGCTCTGCGCCTTCTCCACGGCCGCCAATCCCGGAGCCACAATTTGGGCGTCCTTCCACCGGCCCTTGACTTCACTAAGTACTTAAGGTGCTTCTTCTGTGGCGGGCTGCAAAGCAAGGCAGCTCAGAGTGGAGCGCCCGTTTCCGGGCGACCCGACAGTCTGGAAGGCTCACGCACAGCCCCCTGCGGTGGCACTTTGGGCGATGCCGAAGCGGTGCTACTGCAGCAGGGAACGAGCGGGAAGCAGTCAGACCTGTTTCGGCTCTATAGGCGGTTTGCAAGAAGGGATCCTCCCCACTCTCCCCTTGCCTCGAACCAAGCGACAGCTGCGGGTCTTCCTTCGCAGCGCAGGGCGTCTCCCAGCGCAGGACATATTCCGTATCACCGATCGCAGCCCGGACCAATTTGACGGGAAAGAGGGTGTCAGTGACTCTGGACGGACACTGTATCTACAATGGGCAAGGGCGCTCCAGCGCTTTTC